TTAATATGATATAAATGTCAAAATATACAAGTTTTTCTTTCAAAGAATTTTTTGTGTAAAAATTTGGAAACAATATTTAGAAATGGTGACATACTTGGAATTACAAACACAGTAGCGAGAAGCAAACTTTTCCATCAGCCTGTCAATTTTCTGGGCTTCTCCTGGTAGCCGGAATCCTTCCAGAAATCTTCGGAGGGCAGACACAAAATCCATTTCTTGAAAACGCAGCTGGTCCACATAAGCATACATCACCTCCTTATTGAACCTAAAGAAATTTTACACATTAATCAAATATACTCATATTTCAATATAACTGTAAATCAGATTTTGGTGGAAGGTCAAAAGTTTTCAGCAACTTACTTTTCATTCTCTCCCAGAAAATCTCCAATAACAGTCTGAAAATAAACATTAAACACAAAAATAAATATTCTCTGCATTTCAAAAATCTTATTTTTCTAAAAAATGCAATTTAATCTCCTAAAGATTTCTTAACAAAGCAAGTTTGACAAACCTTATCCAGTCTTTCGTCTGAGTGAAAAAACTCAGCAACATCATCTGGGGTGCTTCCCAGCATTCCGTGTTCCTGTAAATACTGCAAACCTCTTTTTGGTTTTTTGTTAAACCTTTAAAACAAATAAATTCTTTAAAGTACTCTTATCAAAGCAAACAGTGTTTTATAAAACATCCACAAACATACTATAAACATAAAGTGTGCTGTTTAAAGGGGAATAACTCTTGCTACATTGACAGAGATTTGTTCTACACTTAAGGACCCTCTATACACCAGTGCAAAATGTTTTTAGGACATTGAGAAAATTATATTGTATATAGGTGTAAAATTTGAGCTTATCTATATAATGTTCAATATATGGTAAGTAGCATTTGCCCCCAGAAAAATTGTTCAAAGGGAACAATGGATCAGTGAACAGAATTCACTGTTATTTACTTCAGTATATAATATATATGCAAATGAAGTGTTCAGTTAGTTCATCTTGGCCTTTTTAAATGTTAAGAATGCTTGAATTGATTACAAATTGAGAAATACAGTGTCGATTTCAAGTTATTTAAAGTTAGATCTAAGGGCAGACCACTCTAACCGCAGAAAATTACCACAGAATCAGAACTCTTTAGTGTGCAGTGTAGAGAGGGTAATTAAGAAAAAATAGTAATGAAATAAAAGCTTGTCTTTCTCCAGACCCCTATCCATTACTGAATATCAAAGTATCAGTATCATTCAGATACATTTTATTTCTTACATCTCAATGCCTGTCTCCATTATCTCTTTCTGCTGTTTCTGAGTCTCAAACTGCTCGGGGTTATCTAGCGGAGTACTTGGTGTTTGTGCCCCATCATTAGTATTCAGTGAGTTCACACTGCCATAACTTGTCATCGTACCCTTCCCCGAGTCACTGTCGGTCTCTGTGCTAGGCATTTTCTCTTGTCCTACAAAAAAAAAAGAGTTATATTCAAATTTAATTTTTACTAAATATTGTAAAATAAACATTCTGTTCTAAAATGATAGAAAAAAAATCATTTTGTTTATATGTTATATTTAGAGTACGAGTTTCCTACTGTATCAGAGATACAGGGTGGGGCTTAAGGCGAAAGCGATAGCTCGAGCTGGGCCCCGCCCTGTATCTCCGATACAGCAGGAAACGAGTATTCTAAATGACTTGTGACATGACCTTTCTTATGACCTCGCTAATTTACATGTGTATTTGGGTATATATCTCTCAACCAATCATATGATTTTGCAGAAAGTTGATTTAGTACCCCATTTTTAGCAATCGCAACTGAAATGTCGAGTGAGGTGGACGTGCAGGTATCTATCAGTTTAAATAATTATAATTATGAGATGCATTATATAATGTGTTTCCCAAAATTTAATTTATATTTGATTGCTTAGGTTTTTTTTCCTTCCTAATTAGCTCTTGCTGACTTCTTTTAAAATCTAAGCTACAAATTTAGTGCAAAACATTTTGATACATAAGAATCATATATGGGATTGTATTTGAAGCAAAAATGTTTCAGGGAGGTCATATTCTGAGAGAAATGTCCGACAATTTCATCGACCAGTCATCATACATGTATATACAAAATTCTTGGCTCCAAATTGAAATAAACTGATGTAAGAAAGGGGGCATATTACTTTCATGTTTGATACAAAATGTAGAGGAACCAAAGGCAGATCCAGCACTCACTTGCGCGCGTCGGTATCCCCCCACCCTTTCGATTTTTTTTTTTTTTGGCTTTCGTAAATTATGTTTGCTAAACTTGTATACACTTTTAATTTATCAACACGAAATGATCACGCACATATAGTGCCATGCCTGATTATGAATCTACCCCCACGAAACTCCCCATTTTCCAGTTTGGACACTTTTTTTCGAGAAAACAATTTGTGTACTGCAACACTCCTTCCTTCCTAAAATCTTCGAATCCGCCACTGGTAACTTTTACGGTGTAAAATTCTATTCTTAATTCATCTCAAATTTTGAATAAATACTAACAGCGCTATCATGTGATTGATTCTTATGTCTATATCGTCATCGCTAAAAATAATCCTTACTGTATCATTGATATTTTTCAGATACAGTACAGTTTCTGCTCATTTGCATTTAAGAAACGCCCACTAAAAGTGTTCTGTATCGCAGTTATTGTACGGCTGACTTCAAAGGAAAATTCGCCGGGTCATGTCACAAGACCCAGATACATGTAGTAACCCAGGAAAGCAAACAAACAATCTGTCACATATTGAGGCTAAGATAATCCTTCTTTAAAGCCACTCTACATGACTGTATAATATATTACTCTAAAAATGTACAAGAATCTTCCTAAGATTTAGAAGGCCCACCTAGATTGGACTGAGAATGTGGATTGACATAAAGATCCTTGCTCCATTCAACCATACACTTCAGAACAGACACCAAGCATTCCAGGCCTTTGATTCTAATGCTCTTTTCTTGAATTGGAGTAGCACCTAAAAAGAATACATATCATTACACTTTTTTCCCTCTTGATTAACGAAATGTTTTTAGTTTCATGCCTTACATATGCACTTTATCTCGGTTAAAATGTTTGGCAAAACTTTTTTTTAGTTGTTCACAATTAGCTGGCTTTAATGTTAAACTTGTATATATAATGTAGATTACTCTTTCTATGTACAGGATGGCACATCACAGCTTGGCCGTTACTCATAGCATAAAAGTATCATTTTACCTAATCACAAAACAAATTATTCAAATTGTATACCAGCTGCGATATGGTCATATTTTTTCATCAACCAAATAATACATGTAAAGTTATTTACAAACAAAAGAGATAGTGTCAAATTTCTGGTCTTCTCTGAAGGTTTCCCTAAATCTGTGTTGTGTTGCCTGTACTCACATCCATAAAATACATGTATACATTCTGTATGGTACTCACCAAGAGCTAAAGCCTGCCTTCCCTGGGCAATCTTTGACAAGTCATTCACAAGTCTTTCAAAGATGTTGGCAAGGGCAAGATCACAGTCATAATTTAAATAAATATCCACCACACACTGTGCATCTGATAAAATAAAGAAGTCATAAAAAATAACTATTCACACTATTAGGCCAATATTTTTCTATACAATTTGTGTAAGCTCCATGAAATTTTAAAAAAACTACTCAACAAAATACTAACCTGCACAAATTCTTGTCAGAGCCTGAATGACCATCCACTTGTGTTCAAAAGAACTGCTTGGTGTCTCCAATATATACAGAAATATCTCCTTGAAAAACACCTGAAAAATGTTAAGATATGTAGTTTTTCACTGCTCAGAAAGACTAGCAGGTAACTAATATACATTGTACCTGAAATATGCAGATCTAAATTTACTGTAATACCCTGCTGATGCTAATAAAATATGTAGTATGAAATGATTTCTGTGAATGGCCTATAAAGAATATTTTTATACCCATTGTTTACCTCAATCTGCATCTTCAGATGCTGTTTGAAATTTGACAACAAGGTAAGGAATATGGCTAGGGACAGCTCAAACACTTCTGGGACCGAGCTGACTCCATTTTTGGACAGAGCCACACACAAGTACTGCTTTATGGCATTGATAAACATCTCATTAGTTTTAAAGACTGGTCCAGCATTTTGTAGAATGGATAATAAAAGTTGTAATGACAGGGCTTTAGAGCGAAGTTCATGTGACCTGTAAGAAAATAAGAGTCAATTAAAGAATATTTTGCAAAGCAGGTAAAAAGTTCAAAAATTGTAAATTTTGAGGAAAATTAATTTTTTGATTCATACTTTGGATCTGGTGGTCCATCAGCCAAAGGTTTCATGGACAATTTACAAAGACTTCTGAACACAAGGAAGGCATCCTTCTGAAGAATGTGACTAAATACCCCCTGTGTCATTTCCCCATCCACATTGCCAGACACTGTAAAATTAATATATCAAATTTATCACCCTGCTTTGCCGCTGGATAATTTCTCCCTAAATTGCATATGGGCATCAAATAAACTTTACTTATCACTTTTGAACAAAGATAAAAGAAATCAGCATAAAAATTCTAAGCCAAAAAAAAAAGAAGCTTCATGCAAAGATAAAAAACATGCTTATAAAATCTTTACATATTAGTAGATGTACATGTTTTAAATAAAACCAAAGAAGAAAGACTTGGAATATAAACAAAGACCCCAATTACCACTGAGATTGTCAGGGTTATCAGATATATTTGAAGGTGAGGCTTGCTGAGAACTTTCCGGCTGGACACCAATTTCTGTTGGAGAACCAGTTTCTTCAGGTGGCAATTGATCTGTATTTTCTACACCAAAGTTAATTCATAAAAATACAATGCTGTGAGTTGTAGAGCTTGTTAATTCTGCATTTGCTTAAATAAAGCATTAACATTCATATATAAGACTCGGTAATCTAAAAGGATAATTCTTCAGAAAGGGATAAACATGATTAAATACAAATCTGATATGTGGATATACCGGGTACTGTACATTTGTACTTTCCAAAGATTAGCTATATACATATATATTGAAGCTGATAATGTTTATTTAAGCTTTGAAGTATACAATATTGGTATATGCATCTGGGAGTGGTTTTCATTTTTTCATTGCAAGTATAAAGCAAACTAATTTTAAAATGTAATGATTTAATGATGCAGAAGATAAGGGCAGAAGGGCAATTTTTAAAAGAATGTTTATACCTCTTTTCAAAATATCACACTATTGCAATAGATTTATCAAAGATAATAAAGATACAGCAAGTTAAAATCATGATTCTGAAGCATTCACAGCAAAAAAAGCAACCACCCCAAAAGAAATTCCACTCCACCACTAAAATTCAATGTGAAGGCCACAGCTGTCAATCATACCTTTGGTGGGTGTGTCCTCTCCAGTCACCTGACTAATCATTTCCTCCAAAACCTCCTGTACAACCTCTAAAGGTGTCTCCTCTTTCTCCACCTCCTCTGGAGCTTCTTGTCTCTCATCATCTCCTTCTAAAAATTCCATACATTATCAAACAAAAAATAAGAGCACCACTACCCCCCCCCCCCCCCTTCATTATTTCTGTATTAATGCTTATCCACATAGCATTTCTCTTGGGAACTTCTCACCTTTATCTGTCCCCTCCTCCTGTTTTCCTTCCTCCACATCAATTCCTGCATCCTGAAACACAAAATGAATGCAGTCTCCTTTTATAAATGGATGTACACAATGAAAATGCATCAATTTTGATAAACAATTACCACATTTTTCATGACAAATGAATCTGATATAAAAACTCCCTTTTTGAGCTCCTTGCTAGGCGACAACTAATGTAATTCTCAAGGTTAGGTTAGCGTAAAAGACTAAAAATCAAAACTTAAAATGTAACAAACTTCTTACCTCTTTTTTGGAGCTCTTACTATCACTTCTTTCCCTTTCTTTTGCTTCCTGAGCCTTGAAAAAGAATTGAGACAGTTTTAAAAGCAATAGCAGATTTTGATTCTTGTTATTAAAAGGAAAATAAACAATTTTGATTCTTGTTATTTAAAACAAATCATTTTTTATGGTCCTATCACTTACAGCTTGAGCCTCCATCCTTGAGAAGATGACATTAAGCATCTGAGTGAGTGTAGCCTTAGCTGTAGTCTGATTGATCAGGTTTTTACTGGCCAGGTAAATATTGTAACATGTTCTAACGGTTTGAAGCACTGTGCCTTCATGTATCTCACAGGTATTTGAGGTCACCACTGTCAGCAGGGCCTATCATCAGAAGAAATGTTACAATCTCTTAAATCTTTTTCCAATGTGACAATTGCTACCAAACTCATCATTTATACAAGTCCAAACATTCATACATATGACACAATTCAATTATAAAGCACTCATCAAATATTTAATACTGGGCCTGGGATATCAAAATTTTGAATGATAAACATTTCATTATTATCATTATTATGTTCTTTCTTATCAAAATTTGACCCCTGACCTTGATAATTTGTAGCTGCACCCCTTCATCAGTCTGTGGGCCATGGAAACAGCCACAAATGGTCTCCACGATTCTGTCAATCAGGAGCTTGCCAGGGGTCGTGCTGTCCACTGTGCTTCCTGTCAGGTGTCCATAGGCTATCAATTTCTGGAGAGTAACCAAAACATGCTCATATTCAGATAATAATACTTAATCCTACAGTATTGGCTCTATGATAATATCAGTTTTTAGAATAATAAAGATGTCAGAATTTTTAATCTTTTACAAGTCAAATATTTTTGTTCCACATATTCTTCGTATCAAATTGATTTAAATTTCAAATAAAAAAAATATTCACACATCTTTATTTTCAATGATAAATATTGACAATACCTGTAGACAATCTAATGCTATGTTGACAATTCTGGCACATTTTGATTGGCAAGCTAATTCAAATGGCAGGAAATACTTGTCGGCCTCAACAAACCCTGCCTTCTTGGGCTGTGGCAAGGCTGATGAGGGCTGGTTCCTTAAAAGGAAATATAATTTTTATTGTTATAACCTGAATTATTGTTAACATTGCTGGGAAAAGAAACCAATGCAAATAATTAAAACAAAAAAAAAATCAGTTTCTGAATTTAAAAAAAATATATAAAATGGCTGCTGCAAATTTTGAATAGACTAATCAGGCTAGTCTTGACTTAGTTAGTCTACTAACCTGACTGAATTTTTATGAGCTGGTCCATACTTGATTTTATATGCTATATTTTGATTATGATTATCTTCGTTTGTATATTAAAGACTTAAAATCAAGAAAATCAGGCGACATACCCATTCGAACTGCTATCATCCTTTAACTCTTCTGAAATACAAGAATAAAAATATCAATATGTTTAAAAAAAATGGCCAACTTATTCATGTATGCCCTAATAAAAATAAGTAAGACTTACTTATTTTAAAAATATTTTAATCAATAATGATGGCCTAAGTATACTTATTAAGTATACTTAGGCCATCATTATTGATTAAAATATTTTTTGTTTCATGTACTCCGACCCATATTCTCCAAGGTGGGTGGGTAGGTTTTTATTTTAATTTTCTTATTTTTGGAATTCTCTAACACAATGATACATTATGAAAATCACAGATCTATATATTTATTCCTTCATGGCTCTTACTAAACTTCATCAACACAGTTAATATGTTTGTAAAATGCAGCAAAAATCAAAAGAGGACATATGGAGAACTAAAGTTTATAAGCCAGTCAAATGATCTGTATTTCCCCATAAACAAAAAAAAAATAATAATAATATATAAAATTATTTAAAAAAAAAAAAACTAAAAAAAAAATGTGAACAGGTAGGGGCAATTTTGATGGGTCAGTACATCAAACAAAACATTTTTTATTGTTGGCCTTATAAAAGAATTTATGCATAAAAATGATAGTAAAGAGGGAAGAATGTCTAAAGTAAAATGCATTATAATTATTTCAATGGGAGGGAGAGGAAACATTTTCAGGGTATTATATAAAAAAATTGAGAAGGTAATTCTTACTGATTATGTACATCATGATGACTCAGAAAAACCCAAGAGTATTAATGACACAATGTCTAAATCAGAAACTTCTATTAATAAACATTATAGCCTGACAAGGTTATTTCAATTTTTATTTTTTTATCTAATATTTTACTATGAAATCTAGCATATGATATTGCATCATTTAGCTTTAATAATTATGAAAACAATAATATAGTCTGAGTACCTTTAAATTTATTGCACAATTTTCACACCATGTTCATGTTTAAAGGTTGCAGGGATTGATTTTTTCTATTAATCAAATATGTGTATATATTTCAATTTCAGGGAGTTTAATGTGGTATACAACTCAACTCTGTTGCAATAAATGTTCAACCAGAACAAAAAGCTTGAAACTCTCTTCAGTGCTTTATGGGTTTTCTGTGTTCAAAAGATCTTTTGAAAATTATAATCATATGGCTCTGAATCATGGCCACATTCTACTTTTAATTAAAGAAAATCAAATTCTCTTACCTTATAACTACATATGCTACACATACATTATACGAGGGGCATTTCAAAAGTTCTGGCAACTGATATATAAAATTTTAACTACGTTACGGATTAAAATGACTCTGATAACACTGTAAAGCTTAGGTAAATATGCATTAGTAGTGACGTCATTTTACATTCAAAATGACGTATAGGTATGCTAAAATGACGTCATAATTAGGTATACTCTGTATACTGGGCGTAAAAATGACTGATAAGGAGAACAATTTTTTTGTTGAGCAAAGAGCTTAATGCAAAATTCGCTCATTGCTTGGCTTTACGGCAACAGAAATAAAAGCCGATTTAGATGTACTTTATAGAGAGCATGTTCTTTCATATCGAGCAATAGCAAGATGGGTAGTTCAATTTAAAGAGGGTAGAAAATCAATTGAAGATGACCCCCATTCGGGGCGTCCAATTTGTGCATATGGCAAAAAAGAAATTGTTGCTGTTCAAAGTACGATAGCTGATGATGCTAGATATACAGTTGAGGAAATAGCAGACTTAACTAACATTAATACGTCAGCAGTTTTTCGTATTTTAAAGGAAAACTTAAAGCTTAGGAAAGTCTGTGCTAGATGGGTGCTGCATCTTCTCTCGGAAGAGCAAAAGCGCATCCGGGTAGAAATGGCTTCACAGTTACTAACAATTTATGAAGATTGTGACCAAAGGGGAATAAATGAGATTGTAACTGGTGATGAAACATGGATATATTTTTTTGAACCGGAAACTAAGCTCAATAATAAAGTTTGGATTGGTGAAAATGATACAAGGCCTCAAATTGCACGCAGAAACCGGTCTGTCCGGAGAGTAATGTACGCCATATTTTTTTATTCTAAAGGCCCTGTTGCTCACGTTCTGGTTCCAGAACACAGCAGTGTTACTGGTCAATTTTATGCAGAGAATGTCTTGTCTCAGGTTGTAGAGCACTATAAAACGACCTGACCAACAACTGGTACTAGAGGAATAAAGCTCCTCCATGACAATGCACCTGCCCATAGATCAGAGGTAGTAACCAAATATTTAAAGGAAATGGTATTGCCGTTTTACCACATCCACCCTACAGTCCTGACCTAGCTCCATGCGATTTTTGGTTGAATGCCGTTATCAAAGAAGCCCTCCGAGGACGGCGATTTGAAAGTCGTCATGCAGTCGGAAGTGTCGTATTCCAGTGTATGAAGTGTATACCGAAAGAGGACTATAGGGCAGCATTTTCCACGTGGATTTCAAGACTGAAAAAGTGTGTCCAGGTCAATGGAGACTATTTTGAGGGATTGATATAATTTAATTTATGATAATGACGCTCATTAATTTACCACACACCAGTTGCCAGAACTTTTGAAATGCCCCTCATATAAGTTCAAAATTTGATAGAGTCAATAAAAAGAATTAAATTTGTTTTTAATGCAATGATCAAAACTTACATTAATATTATACATTTATTGACTGAGTTCGAGGGCAACATGCATTTTGTCAGACCCAAGAACCAAACTTTGCCTGAGGTCATTAGGCTGAAGGTAAACAGTTTGGTTTGAGAGGTCGACAAACCGCATTTTGCCCGAGAATATAGTCAATAAATGTTTTGTTATACCTTTTACTTTTTATTTTGACATACAGTTGAACTTCGGTATCTCGAACACGGATATCTCAAATACTATGGATACGTCGAAGTGATTTTGAAGTCCCAAATGCTTATTCTTTAAGTATTTTACCCTTGATATCTCGAATCCTCAGTTATCTCTAAGTATTTTCTCGGTCCCTTTGATTTTGAGATAACGATGTTTGACTGTATTTTGTTTACCCGCACTGCGGTTTAAACTTGGTCAATTCCGTAAAGTTCTGTTGAACTCCAAAAAATGTAAATAAGATAAGCTGACCCCGCCCACACTGTGACGTAAGCTGTCCAACGTCTCATCGACAGGTCCAATATCTTGCTCTGCGGTCAAACATCGATTTTTTATGACCGCTCAGTAAAACATTGGAAATGTTAAACTTTTTAAAACTAACAAATCATATAGGATACAACTTTTAAAGGTATAACAATAAAAACTGGCATTCAAAAAAGGCCCTTGTCTCCCTTTTCTCCCCCAAAAAATGTTTGAAATACAGAGAGCTATGACATTGTGAACACACAAACATGGGATGTAAGAAACATTGGGTTACTAATAAATATATATATATGAAATAATTAAGTTTTAACTTTTGGTTAATCACAAAGTTTGAACAATGACTGTCCTCATTTTCTGTAACTATTAATACCATCATTTTTTATAACGAGCGCAGTGAGTGGCGCAAAGCGCCGCTCGTCACTGTGAGCTCTTAAAGCAATGGCTGGGTGAAGAGAAAATTCGGCTTTGCACATTGATCCAAATGATTTTTTTCTGCAGTTACCTGTGGTCCCATAATGCTTAGCGAATTGCATTCTCGTCGCAAATTACCTTCTCGTGATAGCAACAAAAATTCAACAAAAAATAAAATCACCTTGATTTAATGGATATATAGCAGATGAATAGTAGATTAAACATTCTTGATTAAAATTAGTGCTGATCAGACTCTGTTTTGGTAATGCAACATACATACGACGTCATATGATGTCAGAGTTTAGATGACTAGCAAAAATCATGTGCGGTTTGACAAGCCCGATCTAAATTAAAACTGAAAGGTATCTGCACTCGCCCTAACGGTCGCACCATCAACATATTACACTTCAATCTAATAAATATTACATCAAGCTGATCAAGTTAATATGTCATGTTTATTTTTAAGACAACTCTTGATTACCATGATTACAAGGCCTATAGTATTGATTTCATTTCACATCACTTATGCTTGTTATTTCTTCCAATTTTTGATAATAAATGGTATGCATATAGCTAGTGTGCAACATAAAAGTCCATGTAGGTAACCTACTTGCATGGGGTCTTACCTAAAGCAACTTCACAAGCTTTTTTCAGCTGTGAATGATACGACTTCTTAATCTCCTTGTCACTGAGGATCTTCTCTAATGCACGGGTAAGGAACATATCGTGTGGCTTGGTGCCGGCTGTCATTCTTAAACTAAAACATCTGAACACATTAAAGCATGTCAAAATTCTATGAAATCAAACAGGTATGCTGTACCCGGTTCCTCCTTCGTCATATTTCTGTCCACCATGACAGCTGTGATCACGTGGTCATGTTTTCGGGTGGTACAGACTTGCTTATAAAAAATACTGTTGCATCCTTTGCAAATTGAAGATTCTTAAGATTAAATTTGCCACAATGTCAGTCAATGGATATTTTTATTTCTTTGTTTTGGAGTATTACACGACGCATTTTCTTCGTGGACCATTTACTGCGCCCCTACTCTTCCTGCAGGTGGCGCTGTTTTTCCTCATTAGCCAGAATGGACTCGAAAAATGCTCTGAAAACCTGGGAGTTAAGTAATAACGTTGAAAATGTCAGCATTGACGAAATATACAGATATGACAAGAAACAGCAACAGGATATTTTGACAGCCAAACCATGGGAGAAAGAGTAAGAAAAATCCTTTCAGTTTGTGAATAACATTTATATCCCATTGCAAGAGATGACAGGATGTCAAAAATAAAACTGAAAACGCAGTTCATAGAAATATTGAAAATTGTAATTTGGATATTAAAAATCATAGTTGACTGATGTATCAGGGGCATATGAACCCGCGGTTTCATCTTTATCAAGTGTCATTCAATGATTTTAGTCAAGCAATCCCTCTTTCTTCTTCACTAGCTAGCCAGGTGTTTCTTATCCAGGTTGGGCACACCCAACCAAATGGTCATTTATTCCCCATTTGGTGGACAATCTCCCATATCGGAGGCAACTTTTACTGACCAAATGGTTGACTTTTTTATTCTATTCCAAATTTTATTAAAATAAAGCAAAAGCGCATTTGCATAGGCATTGGGGAATTTTAGTGAACATATTCCTCGCACAATTAACACAGTTCGGTCGATTTTCAATGTGCAATTTCTCCGTAACTTTGTAAAAACAATACCCATAGTTGTCCGTAACAGCCAAACTTTTTGATCAATCGATCAAAAAAATTTTGATTGTGTCTAGTAGGATAAAAATTCTATTTTATCCAGTGGTTTAACTCTTGATAGGTTAACTTTCAATCGCTCTTTGGATCTTTGTCAATATTTATCTCCATTAAATCCCGTTAAACACAGGCTCCTCAATTCTTTACTGGTATGGTGGGCACTTATTGCTATAAAGTTAAATTTTTCTAGACTTGAACGTTATATCTTTTGTTAATTTTCTTTTACGATGAAGTTCCATATTCCATGCGACCTTTTGAGGTTTAATATGTATATTACTGATGAATTTAAGATATTTGATAAATAATTTTCAATAAAAGATTTACAAAGTGACTTTTGCACTTATTCTTGTTTTTGTTTCAAGTGCATCATTTTAAAACAATAATTATATCATAATCTAACTTCATTTACTAATTTTATAAAGAACAAAGCCATTACGTACAAAATAAACTAAATAAAGGCGAAAACTTATTTTTCTTTTGATTTCCTAATTGAAAATTAACACAAATGTGCCTCCAAAGTTAAATCCGACTGACCAGGTTAAAAACAGATCATCGTTTTTATTGGTTTGCATAATTTGATTGGTTGCCCGGATAATCAAAATAGAAAGTAAAGAACATGATTGACAGGTGCAGCATCTTTGGAGAAGCAGGGAATTTCCTTTTTAAGTAAAAACTGAGAAACGTTGCACTTGTTTACGTACGTGATGTTTTTTGTCAAATTTTTGAACGACTGCGCAAAATATTACACGTTGAATTTCCAGTTTTTTTCACTCAGAACACCGATAAATATCTATATTTTATTCCACATTGTTTAAAATTATGCGCCATTCTATGGAATAGAACACAACAATTTTTCTCTCCCAAATGGTCAGTAAAATTCATCTCCGATATGGGAGATTGTCCACCAAACGGGGGATAAATGACCATTTGGTGGAGTGTGCCCAACCTGTTATCTGGAATAGGTCCTTCGGATGAGACCGAATAAACCGAGGTCCCATGTCACAGTAGGTGCTGGCACGAAAAAGATCCCTCACTGCTCAATGGCCGTAAGTGCCAAGTATAGGACAAAATTTGCAGCTCTCCACCGGCAAGTGGTGGCGTCTCTATATGAGTGAAAAATTCTCGAGAGGGACGTTAAACAACATGCAAACAAAAACAAACAAACTTATCTGGAATATCTGCTCCACTCCCATTACTTAAAAACAGTTGGCCTACAGTGCTTTCGGAATGACTTTACTTTAACAGTCCACAGAAAAAGTGCTAAAATATAGTGTCTCCGTAGGCGACTTCAATTTATATGAGATCCTGGAGCGATTGAAAAAAAATAAAAAGTATGAGGTTTTAAGCCTTTTTGACCCCAAAATCAAATTCTACGATTTTAAGTTCAGTTTAAAACTTCATTTTTAAACAAAGTTTTCAACTGCGTTCTGTGAAGAAAGGTAACAGATATTGTTTATTCAGTGAAAAGGAGACAAAAAATAATTGTCAAAGAAGCATGTGCGGTGCATGCTTAGTGCTGTATCTTTCGTACTTAGCCATTTTTTTTCATGTAAACAAACCAGCGAAATGTCATTGAAGCTGAATTAGATCTTGCAAAAAATACAGACGCATCTTAATTTTTTAATTATCTAAAAGAACAAGACACAAACCCTAAGGATGGATGCAAGACTAACCCTTATCAGTTGAAAACTTCTGCAGGAATTAACCCAAATCTTTCAGGTGGGTGCAAGACTAACCCTAACCAGTCAAAAAATGTGCAAGCCAATTGAGTGACATAAATCTTACGTCATAGTGCAATGAGCGCATGGATCTGGGGACCGGTAAAGTCAAGTCTACCCGTGCTCTCAAAACTTCGGTATTGGTTATGTCATAATATGAATCTTATTTCCATTCACATAAGTTATGTCATAAAAAAGGTTTTAATATTGAACAAATTATTAAAAAAAATTATGAAGGAGGGATCAAATGATGATTATTTGATATGTTTTATGGTGCCACCATTGGGGCAAGCACAGTTGTATGCCATAAAAAACTTTTACATAGCTTACACTTTAAACATTGATCTGCCTGATCTGATACAGAGACTGTACTAGGCTTTCTAATTGTATCAACATCTGTTTTTCTTTTTAACAGTCCACATTACTTCAAGCACATTAAAGTTAGTGCTCTTGCCCTTCTGAAGATGGTTATGCACTCAAGATCGGGTGGAAATCTAGAAGTGATGGGACTATTACTTGGTAAAGTTGATGGTAATACAATGATTGTCATGGACAGTTTTGCCTTACCTGTGGAAGGGACAGAGACCAGGGTGAATGCCCAGGCTCAGGCATATGAATACATGGCTGCATATACTGAGGCAGCCAAACAAGTATGTCACCTTTTAACTTGTATTTCCATAAATATGTTGTTATCAATTTATGTTCATGGTTTTAGGTCTTTTTAATTGAAATTGACATACAAGTCTAATCTTTTTGGCTTTCTTGGACCAAGATTATGGAAACTTATACATTTAAAGGTGTCCCTAGTCTGTTTGTCTGTAAACAATTTTCAAAACATTACTCTTCAACAGTATTCACTGAATGTCGATAAGTAGACTACAATACAATATTCAATTCTTTGTACATGTACTGCTTTTTGATTTTGATGAACTGTATTGTCATAATTACTAAGAATAGAATTTTCTGTGAAAAACTTTTGAAACACTACCTCTCCCACAGTTTTGATCCAATTAAAAAAAAGATACATATTTTAAATAGACTCAAAATTCAGTCTGTCAGTTTGAGTTTGTCAGTTAGTTGTAGCATCACAAATATCATCACGGTATACTGTCCATATAATTATTTTTTTAAAAAACAATGTTGATAGTAACTACATATTGTTATTGTTTATCCATACACATACATTCAAACCTCATTATCCCAAAAGGCAATTGGACTGATATGTTCAATGATTCATGACATCCATTTTAAAAGTGGTTGGGATTTATTAACTCACTTTGACATATCTATGTTATTCGAGGGATCAGAGTTCAAGATTACAAAGTTCTTCGACTGTACTTGTATTTTTGATATGTATGTGGTTTTTATTTTCTGATCTTTAGGTAGGGAGACTGGAGAATGCCATTGGTTGGTACCACAGTCACCCTGGTTATGGCTGCTGGTTGTCAGGAATAGATGTCAGTACACAAATGTTAAACCAGCAGTTCCAGGAACCATTTGTGGCTATTGTGGTAAGTCATTTATGAAGATTTTGCACAATTTTTGAGATTTGAACAGAAGTGATGTTTTTATCCTCTATTTATAAAAGACTAAATAAGAATTTAAGAGCTTCACAGTACAGTGTATTCAAGAAAAAAAGGTTATTGTTGATTACAGTCAAACCTTGGGACAAGATTGAAGGATTCAATATAAAAGGTTATTAATAAAAAAAAAAAACATAAAGAAAAAGTGGTTGAGACTGCCACATCACTTTCATATCTCTGGTATTCGAGACATTGGTGTTTGAGATAACAAAGTTCAACTACATTGTATATGTATATATTAGATAGTAAATTACACTGTAAACCTAATTTTTTTTTCATATTTGCAGGTAGATCCAGTGAGAACAATATCAGCTGGGAAGGTCAACATAGGGGCATTCAGAACTTATCCCAAGGTAAAAAGTTCAGATATAAACAGATACACATTAATATACTCAATGTACATGGGGTTTTTGTGCAGGTGAAAGTAACAGTTAAGATGATTGAGAAAAAATAAAACCATGCAATGTAAGGCTACTGATATTCATTATGTATTAACAGGGCTTCAAACCCCCAGATGAGGGCCCATCTGAATATCAGTCTATACCTCTAAATAAAATAGAAGATTTTGGAGTACATTGCAAACAGTAAGTAACCTGGAATGAATTTGCATTTGCTAAATTTTTCCCAGATGAAAGAATAAAAATGATGGGTAGGACAGTTCAAGAACATTGGATGATTTTACAAACACTGTAGAGCTGTAGAGGTACATTTTTCATGTGGGATTAATTTACGTTATGTACGTGGTTACAAAATTTCCAGGGAAATTTTTTACAGTGTATTTAAATTGCATTTAAGACATACAATGGTTAACCGAGAAAAATATGCATAAATTTCTACCTGCAGATTGAAGAGAAATTATGATTCCGCAAAATTATGACCCTGTAGAAAAAGTATGTTTACAGTATCAAGTACAAAAAGGGGAAGGGAAAAAAGTATAGAAAGATCTTCATTATAAATTCAACCAGAAATGTGACAATTTAATTGTATTGGTTGGAAGAATTAAAGTTCACACACTTAACAAAGCAATTGATAATGTTGACTTTTAACATTAATTTAGCTAAATATTGGGGTGATAGTGGGAATTGGAACACAATTTTCTTTAACAGGTTGTTTTTTCAGTATTTATTTTCTATCCATGCATTACAGTGAATTAGTCTAGATAGATGTACTTAGAGAGTTTACTTATTTTTCAGCTATTATAGCTTAGATATGTCCTACTTCAAGTCCGTGGCAGACAGAAAATTATTGGAATCTCTATGGAATAAATACTGGGTTAATACGCTCAGTTCATCCAGTCTTTTAACAGTAAGTTCATCTTACTTTATTTTTATTTTTCTTCCTAGGTCAACTTTCATCCTCCCCCTAATTTTAACTCTTGAAATTTGTATTAATTGTGGAAATACATGTATATGTTTGGAAGATTTATCCATGTGAAACATAATTTTCAATAACTTGTAATCTTTAAATGTTTTGTATAATATGGTAAGCTTTTTTCTGCACTTTTGTTGTAATAAGAAGAAATGAAATGATAGGGATAGATTATTTTTGCTTTCAATACAAAATTTGTTTATTGTTCAGAATCTCCATGTCTCTATTCCTGATGAGAATTTGGTTCTTTGTTTAGAATGCCGACTACACAACTGGTCAAATTTTTGACTTGGCAGACAAACTAGAGCAGTCCGAGGTCCAGTTGTGCAGAGGAGGGTTTATGTTGGGCATGGACACACATGAAAAGAAATCAGAGGATAAACTCGCCAAAGCAACTAAAGATGGGTATGATTTTTCCTGCAGGCAACAGAAAAATGTATCATTGATGTACATGTAATGGGAAATGTATAATGTTTGGAGAGAAATTAGGAAATTAGGTTCAAAACTGAAACTTAATGCCAGAATAAGAAACCAAAGGTCATATTTGACTTTTGGTTGGTTGTCTTTGTCATTCTGTCTGTTTGTGACAATTTCATTTCAGATGATATCTCAAAAGTGGTACTGTAATGAAATTTTATATCTTAACTCCTTATGACTCAAAGATTTGATGTCAAAAGGTCAAGGTTATTGAAAGAGTAAACATTGTACTTTAGTTTGTGGATGGTATCTCTGAAAGTAATTCAGGGTTTGCAATAAAATTACATAGCACAAATTCCTTATGACTTGAAGAGGACCCCTATTGATTTAAGGTCAAATGTTCAAGGTCAGAAATTCAAAAATTACATAAAATAGTTCATGATGCTAAGTGTATTTCTCTTTGAGCATTTGAAATGAAACATAAAGTGATGACTGTTTCTGACTTTAAAAAAAAGTACTGGTATATGATTTTGAGGTCAAATTCATATACGTAATGGTTTACTGTAGTTTTCAGATGATATCTCAGAAAATACTTTCACTTTTTGCAAAAAAAATCTCAACTCTTTATGACCTAAAGCAGACTCCTATTAATTTTGAGGTCAAAAGATCAAAGGTCTAGGTCTCAAATTCATATTATTATACTGCGTAACATGATATAATTAGTTCTTTTTGAGCTTTTGAAATGAAACTCAGGGTTGACTTTTATAGCTTAAAAAGACTCATGTTGATTTTTAGGACAAATGGTCATAGGTCAAGGTCACATATTTGAATATGGTATGAAGTGGTTTACATATTTCCTTCAACACTGTCTCTAATGAAAACACAACTGCCAATGATTCCGAGTTGAAAGGGTCAAAGGTGAAGGTCAAAAACTTGGATATCGTTACAGATTATTTCTGACTTATATCTCAGATAAACCTGTCATTTAATGGAGGATATAAATTCTTTGAATTAACTTGTTACTTTAATTTTTTTTCAAATATAGCTGTAATATTATTTTTATCAAGTTTTGCTATGGAAAGAGAGAAAATTGAAGATGCATATATTTCACTATTTGGTACTTTGTAGTATAGAAACACCACTGATTACCTATATTTCAAATGACTTGAACTTCATTTTAATTTCACAATGATTCTGTATTTGTACACTGGACTAACAGTAATTTTTATCATGAAAAGAACAAGACATCTTTTGAGTCTTGGATAAGGAACTGGGAAATCATAGTAAATAGTGAATTGCACCCCACCCACCCCAACACACACCCTAATACTTTTTGATTTTGTACATTTAACTTCTGATGTTCAGTCATGTTACATTTTTGTAGATGTAAAACTACAATGGAAGCAATCCATGGCCTGATGTCACAAGTGATCAAAGACAGACTATTTAACCAAGTGCACACTTCAAAATGATACCTTGTCCTTCTGTATAGTGTTTCTAGTGTACAATATTGATGATTTACTAAAGGACTCCAGAATTCAATGAACAAGGGAGAATCAAAATGAAGATCATGTGAATTTCTTGTTACCAGTATATTCATTGTTTACATGTATGTATTAAATTAGAACATTTTATATATTCTGTGTTTTCATTGAAGACTTTTATCTTAATGTACTTACAGTACAGTAAATGTAGACAGTACATGTACGAGGGCTGTTCGGGAATTATTGAGACATTTACTTTTACTCCATAAAGGCCAGAGATACATTCATGAAACTTTGTCAACATTTTATAAATAACAAATAAAAGAAATGTGCAAAATTTCTAATTTATAGGATAATTAGACAAGTTCATGTGAAATTATAAACATGCATATGTCTATCGACCTGGAGCAGCATCGCTACGTCATTTTAACGTCACATCAGCCAGAGATGTTTTTGCAAGTGAAACGATCAGGAAGCGTTTACTCTTCTTTCTCTGTTATCACATATAACATTCCAAAAATCAAACTGTCTCTTTCCTTAAACAATTCTTTAAAAAATAAAATTAAAAAAAATGTGTGCTGGTGCTACCTCAGTGTTAAAAAATACACAAAGTGTCATATACAGGTTGAATTAGCATCACGCAGTACTGATTTTTGCACAGCGGGTCAACGTTATTTACTCCGTAATAATTGATGGTCATCTGGAGCTCTTGTTTTTACTCTTGTTGAATATTTTGTAAAAATAAAATATATACCAATGAAAAAATAAAACCCTTAGACACTTTTTTTGCATTGTTATTGTTTTAGCAGGTCATTTAGTCTGGAAAAAGAGTTCTCCATAGGGCTACACAAAATTAAAGGTATGCTCGCTGCGCCGCCTTGACGTCAAATTCCATTTTGTCGTCGTTCTCAGATTTCTATGCTGCGCTTAGATTTATTTATGATCTCCGTATTTCTGATCGAAATTCTAACAAACTTGCATAAAATGAAGTCAAAATTAAATTGAAAAACTATATACATAAATTGAATTATTTTCGCGCTTACTATGAGTCCACCGGGAGTTTGAACGTTGGTGTAACATATTTTCAACATCTGATTTCGTGACTGTGCCGGGTACCCCTACCATTAACACATTAATATACCACTGAGAAGAAGAAATAAAATATTTGTAAAATATTTTTTGCTTTTATTAATTTTTATTATATGTCAAACGTATATGCAAATTTTCACCAAAAGACGTTCATTAGAAAAAAGAATATACACATTGTCTCAATAATTTCCGAACAGCCCTCGTATACATTGATTTTATTCCAACTTTACTTGTCAGTTTTACAAATGTCAAGGTCAGATTTGTAGATTAGATAATAAGGGCTTTGAGAAATTCAAATTTCATTAAGACACTGCATTCTATTCTGTACTTCATTTAGAAACCTTCATGTTGTGAAAACGTTAAATACTGAATGTTTATGTAATTGGTCTCTTGTATTCTGCTTCAAAATTATTGGGGAAAAAAAGAAACAACATGTTTGATAGACTTATATAATTTATTTCATGAGACAGTTGGTCAGATATGATGTAAATGTTATATGCTCAAAATTTAAAAATGTTTTAAAAAAAAAAAAAGCTAACCACATAAAAACACAAAAGGATTCTTCAAACAATGTTGGAGTTCAATTTTGAAATGGACTCGAAAGACTTCACCACTACCAGCATCAAAATGATTCATTTTCCTGTTAATTGAACAAATTGTGTTGGATTGTCACCCATGTGAGCTCAATAGACAATTTACTGCATTAGTGCTATATTAACAAGACAATATAAATTAAATATGACACCCTAGTGTTCCCCTTGTTATATATCTTGGTAGGGCTAATTGCAGTTTAAAGATACAGTATCAAAATGTTAACTGATGAAAAAATATTGATTTATAAATAAAAAGTTTTCAAACACAAGTTCTTAGAAATGTTTTAAATAACATAAACTATTCATCGCATCCTCCTAAAAAATATTAAAATAATGCAAACAATAGATAAAAGACAAAAACAAATCAAATAAGTTTACAAATGCCTCAGGTTAGCTAAGATATTCATTAAATCAGTATAAAATAAGTACAAAAGTTTAATATTAATAACACCTGTACCCTATTATACAAATTATTTTCTTGTAACTTGGTTTACCACACTCATTCTATGCACACAAACAACAAAACTACACACACATACAACTACTTCCATAATATCATTCAATCCCTTTCGGCAAGAATAAATTTTCTCTTCTTCTGGCAAGACATACATATACATGTTAACACATTGAACTGGTATGTACCGGACTTTAAACTACTACTCTGATACTCTGACTACATAGAGAAAGTTAATGGTGTTTACTAGCAACTTTTGCAGGTGCTTTGTCCACAGAGATCAACATATTTTCCTTCAATTCACACAAACACAGAAAGTAGACTATGATATATATATATATATATATATATATATATATATATATATATATATATATATATATATATATATATATGTATATATATATATATATATATATACGAGGGTTGTTCGAAAAATTCGTAGACGATGTCAATCTTTGTTATACTACTTCCAAGAAATATAAAATAAGCACAATATCGTGTAAAAATATTTGTTTTGTTGATCTGTGAAATTTCATTCCATACAATTTGATGGAAATTAATTTATTTCATTTTAAAACCAACATGTTTTGTAACCACGGTGCACACTTAAAAGCAATGTAACGTCAAAAACATAGCGTCAAGAGTTTCTTAAAAATTCTATCCCTATACATTCATGTAGTATAGCCCAATACCCACCTATTAAAAAACTTTTTCAATCACTTGACATTTATTTTTCTAACAATTGTTCTCGTGTTATAATTTCCTTTGTTAATGTTTAATTTCTTTTACCGCTTAACTGTGCTTTCACAAGATCAGCAACTCTGAAGCGCCTACATCTTTCCATGACGTCCCAACTTTTAAAAGTTTTCGTTCAGATTTTTACAGTTAAACCGTTTCTTCACAGATTGTCCTTGTCCGATACAGAGTCTCTGTCACTCAAATACCGCCTCTACCATTTACAAACACATGCACTACTCGCTTGTGGCATAGTTTCTGATTCATCCAACATTTTTAGCGTTTATTCAGGATTATCCCTGAGTATAACACAAAACTGCATCGTTATCTGCTGCTCCGTGACGTTCTACAACGTCATCTTTTTGTCGTTTCAATGAGGACTACCTATCTTCTCAAATTGATTTCTTTTTACCGAAGCAAAATATTAAGCCATAATTTGGAAAACGAATCGATGTAACAGTTCTTAATTTAACCGTCTAGGATTTTTTCGTTTTTGCTCCATTTTACAGAGAAGATGACTACAGACATTATTTAGTGCATTGTTTGTAAAATACTTAATTTTGACCTGCGCGGCGATCCTATTTTTGCTGTTTTTAATTCTGGATAAGTTTTAAATAAATCATGATATTTTTGAAAAATTTAATACAAATCATTTAAATTTATTGTTAAAATATTTCTACCAAATTTGGATAACATATGACGTTAAATAAAAAAGATATGACAGAAGTCCACGAACTTTCCGAACAACCCTCGTGTATATATATATATATATATATATATATATATATATATATATATATATATATATATATATGTATATATCACTTGCTGTGTTCATGTTACTGGTATCAGGTTATAAAAGGATGATGATAAAAACATTTCATTTCTGCCCATCTGATTTTGAGCAATCTTGGAAGTTTGGAAACAAATTTGATGCCAATGAAATCATACAGAACTAAAAAATCATGTTGAAAATTATTCCAATCTTTATGAATGTATAGGAACCAACTTGAGAAGGAAAATGTGTATGACATAGTTAATAAAATTGCATAAGTAAATGACAAGATTAAACTTCCTGTTTAGAGAATTGTTATGGAAAACAAAAAATAAAGGACGGAAGATTTAAGATTTTACATTGGAGAACATGAAACCCTCAATGAAAGTCTACTTTTGCCAAAAAAAAGTCAGCATCTGGTTCTACATAAGAGAGTCAAAGGAAAACATTTTAAAACAACTATTTTTAGGCTTTGACATAAATTACTTGTCAGTAAATGATAATCAGACATTTTTGAGATCCTGTTTCGGTTCATAATTAGGATTTTGATAAGCCTGAGAAGCTGCTGGTTCACTGAAATGTTCTGTGTCAAATGCATTCTTCTCTTTCACATCTTGTTCCCTCTTCAGCAAGTTCCCTTTCTTGCTTCGCCTGCAATGTTGGACATACAATTGAAAGGGTATCCTCAAAAAGAGAGGGTGTCTTTAAAAGATTACAGATTTTTTTGAAAAGTTAATTCAATTAAATTTTAAATATTGTCTGAAAATGGTATGAAAACAACATATATTATTAACTTGGCAAATTAATGTACATAGTAACAACAGGCAGATAAAAAGAATGCACACAAATAATTGCAAGGGATTCCAACTATTGGATGTCTGGAATTAATTTGATTTCATCTTTGACAGAATGCTCGTAATAATGTTTGGTCATCTATAATCTTACCTTCTGATATACACAACATAACACACGACCAGGACTAGTATGATAAAGGCCAACACACCAACAGCTATATAGATGGCCAACTTCTTGTCTTCTTCCTGCAATTTAAAAACAAAAATTTGATAAAACATTCCTGCATGTATACCAATTTTTCACTATTTAAAATTTGTTTATAATCCATAACCTGGATGTTTTTTCTAAGGACAGGCCCCTGGTAGCACTAGACAAGCACATCTATCAGCGGATGTTTTGGAAAATGATTTATAGTTCAACAGTGTTTGAGCTAACCGTTTATTTTCCAAGCATAACTTTTCAAATGGAGAAAGCAGTACATGTGCAGTGTAGCAGATTTAGATCACTGTAAATCACTTTATTCGCAAGAACTTTATTTCTTCGTAATTATGCGAGACTGTCTGCTCGTGAAAACTTAATTCTCATGTATATTTGTAGTAATTAAGATTATAAAGAACAATAACCAAAGTTATAATTATCAAATGATCATCGTGAGAAAATAAGGTGTCGTGAAAATTTGGTGATCTACAATAACTTGATCGACTTACCTCTTCTGGTGGGGGTACTGGAGCCCTGGAATACAGAGTTTTCCCTGCTGTGTTCAGACTTCTCTCCAAGTCAACACGCTTGGGTGACTTTAGGTTCTCCACAGGCTCATCATCAGTTCGCTGGACCGTGTAATCCACAACCGTTACATCATCCCTATAATGTACATCAAGAATCATTCATAATTCTACAAATGAATTCCCCCCACTTACTGTTAGAAAATTTCAGGATCTATGAAATCTTACTCATGCAAATAGGAGAGGAGGGCAGATGGTGGGACAACCAATGAAATAGGGCTCAAGGAGGGTAACCATAAGGGATAAAGAAAGACACAATGGGGATGAATAGGAGATACAAGAGAGTGCGATTATCATAACCCCTAACATGCTAATCACTCAAATTGGTTGATACATACCCATCACTTTTGGTGTTATTTAGTTTAGCATCTGTTTTAATATGGTTCTTCATAACATCTGTTCATAAATGAAATAAAATACATCAAAACAACATCCAACAAGATTTTTCTCACACAGCTGTAAGTAGATAGTTCACTCAGATACACTAAATTATGATGTTAGGAGACTGAAATTTCAAACTCACTGCCTTGATAATTTCAACACAAAATAATACACAGCAATTAAGGGAGTCTATAAATGTTTGGGATTTAAATTCTTCACCTTGGTTTTCTTTAGCAAAAGCATCTTTAATGGCATCAGATATCTTTTGCTTTTCACTCTGGTCTGTTTTTCCTTTTAGCTGTAGGGTCCCTGCAAGTTTTGGGGAACATCCACAGGGGGCAGCACCTGCCTGGGTCAGAGGTTGGGTGAGGTCATGACTTGAGGGTGTGTCCACAAATGATGAATCAGGTTCATGACCTTCCAGAGCTACTGTGTATTGAACAGGTGTAATCTCCTTGCTGTAAAAAAAGAAACGTCAATATTATATCAGGTCCATAAAAAGATCCATCAAATAATAACTAGCAATTTACTATGTCTTAATTAATGTCCTACTGTAACTACAAAGGAAATGGCTCTTACTTATCATTGCCCACTAGTTTTGTTTTAATGGTGGCACTCTCTGTTTCTCTCTTCTGTCTGCTTGTTAAACTCTTTATTTTTACTGTGAACTTCTGACCATCTATGCCTAAATTGTGTGATATATAAAACTGCTTTAATTTAAAAAAAAATGTATAAATCTACCAGCAGCATTCCATCATCTTAATATGATCAAACTGAATGCATCTTACTCTGCTTGAATATGTGTCATTAACTCAAGACTACGGCAGTAATATTGGAAGCAATCCGAAATATTCTCAGAGTCTTAAGCAATGTAAAATATTCTCAGTGTCTTAAACAACTAAAATTAATCATGCGAGTCAGTGTCTGATTCTATTCCAGTTACACATACTTTTCTTTAATTTAGTGCTGAAGGAAATTCTCTTGAAAAGTAAGACTAGTGATATGAAGAAATGGAATTACCTGGATTCTTGCTTGTCCATACAGATTTAAGAGCTGTATGAACTTTAGTGACTTTTATGGAAGTCTGTGAACCTAGCAGGTACTCTTTTCTGGCCTTCTTAGCATAACATGGACACTGGGCTTTGTTCACTTTCTTAAGCTCTGCTTCAATTTCAGCAAAAGATGGTGATGACACCTTCAGAGATTCCGGACTGGAGCCATTGATTTTGATGGTGTATGTTAATTTTGTGACACGATTCCAATTGTCACTGACATATCTGTGTGTACTATGTGTAGTAACTGTTACTGACCCTATAAAATAATTTTTTAAAAAAGTTAAACTGATGGATGCACCCGAAAACTTCTTTTTGTATTAAGTTGGTATAAGGAAATTTTACTTTTCTGCTATAAGCCAAAAACATTCTGTGAATACCAATTCAAATCAAGGATTCAGTCATGAGAATCCAAATTGACCTCGCAGATGTATTAATTTGAATTCACCTTATGACCTTGTGTCATGGGTATGATTTGCATGAAAAGTGAAAATGGACCAAGATCTTCCTAATTATGACCTTAAGAAAAGGAAGTCTTCAACCTTGAACATAGTAAAGCTTGTTTTATAAATGAAATATTTAGATACATGTACATTGATCTGTAAACTGTACTTCACAATTGATAAACCTATTTTAACAAATTCAAAACTATCCTACACTAATTTTCATGATTTTAGCATGCCATATCTGTTACATCTAGTGCATCGTTTAAATCAGTTACTTCCCTTCATTGTGGTTTGAAAGCAAATTTACCTGATGTAATTCTCCTCTTCCAGCTTTTCTGAAGAGCCGTACGTATGTCTGAGAATTCTTTATGGTGACCTTGTACAAATATGGTGAACACTTTGTTCTCGGACTGATTATTCATAGAGAAATGATCTTTTACGGCAGAATTGTTTTGCAGAAGTTTCATTATAATTCCCTTAAACTTGTCAAGGTGTAACTTTCCATCCCATGGGTCCACTGTTTTGTTGTTTATGTGGATGTAGAAATATATCCTTGTGACCAAAGATCTGAAAAAGAAAAATCAAAATTTTCAATGCTTTGCTTCTCGAACAGAACTTTCAATTTAATTCACATCCTCTCTGTTCAAAATTATTACCTTTCATCCAGAGTCCTGTATTCTTTAGTGGAGACAATCTGACTTTTCAAGTGTTCTCCTACTGTTAGTAAAAATAATAATAAACCACATGTACCATTCGAGCAAACAGAATTTTAAACTTGTTCTGTTAGCTAATGTCTAATAATGCTCAAACAGAAAAAGAACTCGGATATGAGTATTTGACTTAAAATTTACTGATCAGTCACTTAAGTAATAAGATTGCTTGCACATAACAATGGAGTGCCAAATTGAAATTCTTAGATTAAATAATGTATTTTTACTAATACAATGTATAAATAATATAGTCCTTTAAATATCAGTGATTTTAACCTGCATTGCTCCTCCATGTTTCTTTATTCTGTAACGTTTCATTGATTACAATTCCCAAACTCTCAACATCCCTAACTGTTATAGAGGTATTCTGGAGGTGGATCACAGATGTATAAAACAGGGATCGTGTTCTGTAAGGAACCGAGTGATACACGGTCAGCCTGGAATTCTGGGAAGACAGAGCTGTCTGGACTTTCTGGCTATCAGGATAGACTGTGATGTCAGGGGTGATAACTCTGGTTTGGCCATAAGACTGGTAGGAGATTGTGTAAAGGAAGGCAGATATCTGAAGTCTTAAAGCAGAAAATACTAAATTTATTACTGACATTTAGTTCATTCACTTGATGCAACTAATCTTTATTATCTATGTATACAAATTACCCACATATTCTAGCATTTAAAACAATTCATAAAAAGCTTCACACAAAAAAATCTCCTTACCCATAGCTACCAACAAAGGAGTCCATTCCATCTATCAGCTTGATTGCAACATTTTTGGTTGCTATAACAAAAATTGAATATTATTACAAAATCAAACTTTTTAACTTTCAAATCTAACTGTTCAAGATCCAGCTGGAAAAATCAACATTTTCTCTCATTTATGAACTGTACTGTAAAATGTTCTAGAAAAAAATCACCAAAGATACCATTTGATTATTATTTTAAAATAAGTATGGAATTTTAAAATTTAGATAAATGTATTAATTCAATAATCTTCATATCTTGCTACTATCTCCTTAAATTATTAATATGTTTGAGAGTAACCTTGAGACTGTTGTTGCCAGGTTTGTGTCAAGGCCGTCTCTATAGTGGACCTGTTCAGATTCCACCGAGGGAGAGTAACATAGAGTCTGAAGCAATCCGAGTATCTCAGGGAAGTCTTCCCCATGTACAGTCTTAGTCTCAGTCTTGTTGCCATGGAGGCATATGGGGGAGGTTTGGTCACGGAGGGATACATTGGTTCATTACGTCCAGTGATCTTGACAAAGTAACTAAACTTTGTCACTGGTTCCCTGCAAACAGACAGCTATAATTATAGAATACTTTCTCTGCTTTCTGTGAGTTACAGGGGTAAATGTAAAACTATTTGGCCTAAAAAGCCTACATTTCCATATGGCCATATTCAGTGATTCTTAGTAATTTTTACTGCCTATTTCTGGAAACAAAGAGATACAAAACATACCCTAGTTCTGACAGAAATTCCTCTCTCAACAACATATCCAAGGTGGCAGGCACTGAAATAGAAACATTTGCAATTAGCTAAATGCTGTTTTTGCTATTTATTTAAACCACCATTTATTATTAGCTCTACGCAGCTCCATTTTTAAATGGATCTACAAGATTAGTATGCAGAGTTTGAATTCTCATATTTTAGAAACTTCAGTAAAGTTCTGAACAATATAATGTACCTGTGTGGTTTGACCAGTGTTTCTTTAATTCTTCAAAAAACGTTTGTTTTTGTTCAAAATTTAGAATGCCTTCAACTTGTAATGAGAACATTTCACTGTAAGATCCAACATCCGTGTTCACAACAACATATTTCTGCTTTGTAGGTGAAGTGAAGTTAAGGTTGGATGTTAACGCTGTGTGGCTTACACTGAGTTTATGTGATACATCTACGGTAACACCATTAGCTGTAGCTACATAGGTATACCGCCATAACATTTTCCTGAAATAAAACAAGTAAACATAAGTTATTACCTTCCTCTTTAAAAAAAATCAAATTTAGCATATATCTTTTTCTTAAACAAGAGATAAAAATACAGTAAAAACTCTTTTAAGGAATTCAAATATATGGAAATCTCAATAACAAAAAAAAATTCTATTTTTTCCACATCCTGAACATAATACTTTCTTAAATCTACATAAACAAATTTGATTAAAAGGAATTCAAAATTCATCTCCCCAATCTTGTTAGTATAAAGGTTCCTGTCCCAAGAACTTTACTGTAAGCAAGTTTTACTACATATTTCTTTTATTATCTTTAAGTCACATTACGTAATGAATACACATTTGATTTTATCGATCACAAAATTGTATGGAAAGATGCTTGGAGGTTTCAACGCAGTTTTTAAAATACTAAAGTATCTTAAAAGAAACACTTTGGAAAATCAATAAATATATTTTTCTCCTGTCTTAATTAAATATGACAAAAGAAGGTAATTTTACAAATTCACAGTAAAGCCTAATGTTATAAGACAGTAAACTGACCCTGAGCTTTTGTCCACTACTCTCTCCGAAGATCTCACACTGAAGGTCAGAGTTGAGGAAGCATCAATATCTGCAACATAGAAATAAAGGTATATTGTTAAAAGAAATTACAGTTATCATAAATTACATATACTGTGACTCATACATGTATTTGATGGACTTGCATTTTAAAATCTATTAGCATGGACATATCTACATGTACTTTAGATAAAAAGTTTTTGATATTCTTACCTGTCCAAGTGGTCTGCAGTGTATGCAGAAGACTTTTCTCAAACTTAGAGTGGTCAGAGATGAAAACTTGTCTGTTCAGTACAACACTAAACACCTGAGACATACGATATCCTTTTGTGATATTCAACACTTTCCTGGACACCCCAGCGGGATCCACCACTTTAATACGTTTGATCAGAGTGTTGTGGGATGGACCAGTGACCAGCTGTCTGTTAATGGAGTAGTCCACATTTCTGCTCTGAACATGGTACAGCAATCTAAATGCCAGTTCTCTGAAAATGTAAAAATTAGTGAACATTAACACTAATTATTTGAAACAATATACTCATTCAAAAGAAAATTCCAAAAATTTGCAAAAATGACTCCAATAGAAGTGATATGTACTTTACATTTGCTCCTCAGTGAAATCTACTCACCCACTGCTCAGTAAAATCTTTTCCTGGTTTATTATCGTCACCTTCTCTATTTTTTCACCATCGACTGTAAAGAACAAGGACAACCTATACAGTTGAACTTAGGTATCTCGAACACAGATATCTCGAATACCATGGGAATGATTTGGAAGTCCCAAGCACTTTTTCTTAATGTATTTTACCCTCAATATCTCAAACCCTCAGATATCTTGAATTTTTTTTCTCAGTCTCATTGAGTTCGAGATAACAAGGTTTGACTATACTTACCTTTGTCTGGTAAAGCATCACAAAATAGTATTTGAATGGGAAAATCAACAGAACACAAATTAATCAAACATTATCCTACCCACCATTAACAGTAGAGTTCCAAGCTTCCTTGAGCTGATTCTCCAGTAGTGTGTAATTCCTGACCCTGCCATTTAACTCAAGCCTGTGCAGATCCGAGTATCGGAACACAGCATTAGAACCACTGTATATTCTTGAGATGTACCTGTAGCTGGTGCCTGACTTCACCAATGTCACTTGGGTCAGCATAGCTAAGGGGGAAACAGGATTATGCTGTGTGGCTTTCTGCGGTTTGGAATCTCCATTTAAGGAATAAAGAACTCGACTCACTGAAGATCTAAAGAACAGTACAAAAAATAATAACCTGTCATTAGATCAATTCTATGCTTTTCAAAATCTCTTAGGAACAAATGCCAATATTCAATGGAGACAAAGTGGTTTTGGTAAAGATGTTTTTTTTTTCGTGGAAACATTATGTTTACTTGCATTCAGTTTTAAACTTGCATAGCAACTGTAATAGCTAAGAATGTTGGCCTTGCTGTAAACAGGAAATTAATGTGTGGGGTAATTTATGCCAAACATGCAATAAGGGAGTTTTTGCATAAATATCTCCCAAACCTTTAAACCTTAAGTTTTTAATCCATTTTTGCAATACATAATCAGTATTGCAAAAATAACCCCAAGCATAATCTTCTTGCTTCTAATTTGCGTATTTTACAATATGTGTAAATATCCATATTTACAGTAAAAAAAAAAAATTCAATAAGCATTTCTACAATAATTGTTGCAGAAAAAAATCAATAGTATAAAAAATGATACATAATAATTGGCTAAACAGAACCTGCTTCACTATTTCCAAGAAAAGCATTAGCAATAATATTTCATTGAAATATACTCAGTAAAAATTGGAACACAGATAGAATGTTATTTATCATATTACCAAACCAATTCCTAAAAAATGGGAAAACTTTTGGCATTATAATATTTGAAAAGATATTGCTTAAGCTGGAAAGAATCTTTATTCATTATGTACAATATGCTTACAGATCATATCTTTATTTTATCTTGTGTTTCTTTTCTTACCCGAGTTCAGTAACTAAACTCTCCTGTGATAAAATTTTGACTGTCACATTCTTGAAGTCTACAAAATATACATTGGTATAAATTAAGTAAAGGTAAACAACCCCGGTACAAGTAAATGAAGTAATGTGTCAGCAATATCCTATAATGATACAATAAATATGATTTAGTCTTACATTAGATTAACATTTTGATTATTTTACATTTTGAGGGTTCAGGGTGGTTTTTTTTAATGATATATTCAATTTATTTCACATCAGTGCATGTTTAAACATAAAGCATACATGTATATATGTTGGTGAGCATATTAAATATTAAATAAAATTAAATTAAGTACTAAATAAAATAAAATTAAATATTAAATAAAATTAAACTTAATCGTTATTTGACAAGGAATGACAAAATGACAACCAAGAGATGGTACAACATACTTGTTGAATAATCACTTCTCCATGCTGCTGCTAACTGGTACTCCATCTTTCTGTAATCTTTGGTGAGAAGAGGCACTGTCAGATCTAAGGTGAACAACCAATTATATTGGTAAAAGTCCCCCTCCAGAACAAGCTGGTAGTTACGACTGGCTGACAGGGACATTAACTGCTGTCGAAGAGCTGTCAGGTTAACATTACCCACCATTCCACTATCAACCTCAGTTCTATCCACAGACAGGAAGTACAAAATCTTGCTTACGAGTCCCCTAAAAGGTGACAAACATTGTGACTTTACAGATTTCAGAAAAAATGGCAAAAAGTCAGACAGATACATAAAGGGAAAATGCCACCATACACTCTAAATTATGATTATATAGTAAAACAGGGTTATTGAATACACAATTAAAGCGAGGTGATTTTCATTCCCCGTGGTTTTAAAAAATGTCTTGAAAACTAAATGGATCAATATAACAAGTTACGTTTATAATTAATCAAAATTATTTGTCCCTGGCACTTTGCTGTGAGCGTGTTTTACTATATGTAATATATTACACATTATAATATCTCAATTCTAATACACTACTAAATATTTTTTCTTAAACTCTCAAAATAATTCAAGTTACAAAGGTGAACTACTCACATTTTTGAGTTTACGTAATTCTCCTGGCTGAGAACTTCAACAGAGACATTCTTCAGGGTCATATCTGGAATAAATAAATGACAAGGTGCAAATAAATCATCAAACCTAATCTTAGGAAACTTGTAAAATCTACTGATGGTGGAATAAAAAAAAGAAAACAATTTAATATTGTTATATACACCCAGTTTTCAAAATCTACATATTAACAGTACATGATTTTACAAAATAATATTACATGTACAAAATAGTTTGAAGAAAAACAACAATGAATACGTACCAGTCTTAGCCCAAGTTTTTCTGAGAACCTCTGTAACATGACTCAGGTCTGACCTCAAAACGGTGTGGGACAGAATGACGGAGAACCCAGAGTTATATCTCCTGAGAGTGTTCGATCGGACGTCCATTAAGCGATATTTCCTGTATTGTGCATCAGTTGATGTTATACTAGTTTGTAATTGAGTTGTATTCACATCCTCTGATGTTCGGGAGTCTATATATGCAGTGCCATTCTTTGCAAATACAACCAATTTCCACAACATTTTCCTGTTGATAAAATACATATATTTAAAAAAAATGGATGCTGAAGGAGTTATTATCTTAAAATGCAAAGGCTCAATCAGCTCATATCTTGAATTATCAAAATCATACTTGAAAATACATACAAGTAACAGGTATATCTTAAACAGATTTTGTTTTGATGCATTAGATACTGTTCATTGTTGGCTTCAAAACCATTTTAATATTTTTCATGATATTAAAGTTTTAATTTAAGGAGAGTAGAGTGTTGTTTTTCCCAGTTGTTATAAGTTTACAGCATACAAACCCATAGGGCTTTTGTATAAATCTCTCCTGTAATGATATAGTGACTGTAGCATTTGTGAAACCTACAAATTAAAACAGCATTTACAAAAAGGAATTCTCTTTTTTTTGTGTATACTGCAATTCCAAGCCACAATAAATAACCTGTTAAGGTACCTCTTGATGTCCAATATTGTTCCAAAGCTGTGCCAAAGTTAGAAAAATCAGTAGATTTCACTTCTGCAGAGACAAACAGAGCAAAATGGATTCTATAGTCCACCAAGCTGGCTGACCGGTCAATGACCTGATACAGGGTACCTTTAGGGGTGGTAAAAGTGAGATTCTTTTGGAGTTCTGCTGCAGACAGAGTAGGGACTTCCATGGGATCCACCGTGATATTTGTTCTCTCTATAGTGTAATCCACTTGCCACACAGCAGTACTGTAAAATACATTTCATAAAATGTCTTATCAGTATCTTTCAAAAAGCAGACATCAAAAAGTAGTAGCATGGTAATTTATCATAATACCGGTAAATTGTGCGTTAATTTTTTACCTTTTTGCAATATCCACATATCTTGAGTTTCTCAAGATTTTCACTGACATTTCTTTGTCCTTAAACATTTCTGCAGAAGAAAAAAAAAACCTGTACATGCAGAATGGAAATAGATCATACAGATTAAATCAATTTGCCAATACAAGTTTATGTAAAAATCCATCAGGGTGTGTAAAAGTAAACATCTTTATTCTAAATCTATTGTTGTAACTCATTCAAAAGGAAACTGCCCAACTTAATCAAAATATAAGTGAAGAACACCTCTGTACCTGGTTGAAGTCGTATCCAAGCTGCTTTAAGGGATGTCTGAAATTTTTCTTTATGACCATATCCAATCTCTGTTGTCATGTGGAAAGAAAACAACATCCTTGACCTTGTAACAGTTTCCTTGATGGCCTTGACAGTGTATGGTTGACCTTTGATATTGGTTACGTTGATGAGAACCTCAGACAATTCCTTTATGTCCAGTGGCTTATGAGTCAAAGATTCTATGAGTGTACCATTTCTTCTCATAAAATAGCTTAACTTCCAAAAGGATACTCTGTTAAAAGCAAAATAAATCTATTAGTTTAGAAAAGAATTTGTATAAACTAAGAAAGGTCAACAACTGAAGAAGCACCATTGTGCAAATCCAGGAATATACAAACCCTTTACTATCAACAACTTCTTCTTGATGTTGATCTGTGATCCCATCTATATCCAGACAGTTACAGATTATAGACAGACAGTTACAGCTTTCATATTCTAGAAATAAATTGTAGATGCATAAAATTACATCTGAAAACAATTATCACAATTTACATTTAAATTGATCATGTAATTGTATGAAATACTTAACACTGCTTTTTGTGTTTTGTGTTTGTTTTTTCTGACAGTTAAGCCATAACATAAATACAGAGAGCTGAAAAAGTAAAAAGTTATGATTTGTTGAGTTCTTTACACGTACCATTGTACGATTTTTTCCATGTTGTAAGTATGGACTCCTGTATACTAAGATAATGCGTCCTTGCCACTTTGGAAGTAAAGTAGACAGAGAAGGCATTCCTGTAGCTGTGCAGTAGGTCACTCTCCTTAAGGATCCTAAGCTTCTGTGTGTGGAGTGTTGTGAAGTTGGCCAGCAGGACTGCAAGACGGTCATGATCAATCTGGACCAGGGATGAAGCTGGTACATACTGATCGCCCACTCTTATAAAGTAGAGAATCCTCCAGGCTCTCCTGTGTAAAACAAAGAGAGATTGTGAATAATTAGCTTCAATTTATAAAAACTATGACTAATTTCTAGTAGATCAGTTTAGATGGTAACTTACTCATTTTGTCTTGTAAAATATTCCTCTTGTCCTGCAATGTCTACTGAAATACTGCTCTTGAGGTCCGATGCTGCAAATTGAATCACATATTTAATACTGTTGAAAACATGAACTCTCAAACACCAAACTTAAACAAACTACAAGTATCCAATCTCATTATCTTCAACATGAAGGGACAAAAAAAACTGCAGGCTATTCAACAGGTTGAGATATTAAAATTCAAATATACAGTCATGTACATACTTAGAAAAGTGGTAGACTGGTAGGGACTTCAAACTTCCTTTATGATATCAACAGTATTCAAGATATTGATGTTCAAGATACTAAAGTTCAACTGTATTTAAAACCAGTTTTAAGTTATTATTCACTGATGAGAATCAACCATTCCTAATTGATATATCTGGTAAACCTTATTTCAACAGCATAATTCACAATTTAACCTGTAAACATACCTGTCAAATTTTTCTGCAGTAGTTCCGCAATTGTATGTTGCAGTTTTGCCCTCCCTCTGATGTCAAGCTTGGTGTTGAGAGCTACAGATGTGGACATGCCTCTGGACAGGTACATGGTGGTATCCAGGTCTGTGTGGCACCTGTACACACCTCTGGGTCCCACCACAGGTGACAGGTGGGAAGCGTTGATGTTGTCTGTCACCCGAGAGTCAATCACTGTGTTGGAAGCATTGTGTTTCAGGAAGTACACAAGCTTCCAAGTTGAAGTACTGAAACATAAATTTAAAAAAACAAATGTTGGTTTTTTTAATTTGAAGAAAGTGTTTTTAGTTTTTTTTTTTAATGGCTATTTACCATCGAAATTTTACTGCTGCAATTTATTCTGTATTTTTGACCACCCTGTATTTGACCTTGTTTGGCCCTGTGACATTGAGGTTAGAAGTTAGCAGGGAAGTATTTAAGCTGGCAATTTAAATCAAAGTTTCCCATTAAAAGTAAATCATTACCCTGTGGACTTGTGAATAAGTTCTTCTTGTTTCACAATTTGAACTGATACTGCACCAAAACCTAAAAGGTAACATTGTTTACAACACTTTAGACAGTGAAGAAAATGTTTTGACATGTACTATAAACCAGAGAAAATAAATCTGTATCATGCTTCCTAGTCCTACATAGAAAGAAAAAGATACTCCTCAGTAAAATAAATATATAGCAAGGCAAGGTCTGCAATAAAAATTGCGCTGAAAATGAGAGAATGCATCTTTGCCAGACATTTAGCATACTTCACCTCTCTTTGTCCAAGCCTTTTGTAGACTTATTTTGAAATCTTGCTTCTTTTCTCTTGCCATCTTTGTAGTCAGATAGAGAGGAAAGTGCATCTGATAATCCAGGAAGTTGGTAGTAGACCTGACCAGCTGATACTTCCTTCCTGTTACAGAGGTCAGGCTTCCCACCGCTATCTGTAAGTGAGTGAAGTCCAAACGAGGGATCTCTGCCCGTACCAAATGGGAACTGTTTAAAGTCAGTGTGTAGTCCCACTTCGAGACCACTCTTCTAAAAAATTCCAATTGTATGCAATGATGATGCTGTGCATTGACTTAGATACATCTGTACTGAAGGTATTTTTATGACAATTATTTTCAAGTATGTGTGGCAAGCAAGTTACATGTAAATTTTAATTCTTTCTTTCCTTACCCATTGGTATCTATGTACTGTTTCTGTCTGATAAAAGACACTTTCACTTCCTCAGAACCTTTGAATGCAAACATATGCAAAAACACATTGTAAATAACTATTGCAAGTATTAAAAGCTGATTTGATATCTCAAAGACTTTTTCTTGAAATATAGACTTCAATCCACAGAGAGGCCCATGGGCCACATTGCTCACCTGAGCACGTTGGCTAGGAGTTCAGTATTTTATGAGTGGTATCAACCTATCCCTAAGGGGAGGGGGGGCATGATTCAAACAAACTTGAATCTACACTGAGGATACTAACATTCTTTGGCAAATCATGGCTTTAGAAGTTTTTAAAAAGATTTATTTTCCTCTAAGTTTTATCTTCTATTGTGCCCCCACCCTATCCCCAGGGATCATAATTTGAACAAACTTGAATTTACACTACCTGAGGATGCTTCCATATAAATTTGACCAATCATGGCTTTGCTGTTCTTGAGAAGAAGATTTTTAAAGATTTTTCCTATGTACTTCTATGGAAATCTTTGATAGTTCATTGTGGCCCCACCCTACCCCGTTGTCATGATTTGAACAAACTTGAATCTACACAACCTGAGGGTGTTTCCACATAAGATTCATCTTTCCTAGAACAGTAGTTCTGGAGAAGAAAGTTTTCCCTATGTATTCCTATGTAAAATTTTAATCATCCATTGTGGCCCCATCCTAGCCCCAGGTGTCATGATTTGAACAAATTTGAATCTATACTACCTGAGGATGCTTCCACATAAATATGACCAAACATGGCCTTGTGGTTCTTGAGAAGAAGATTTTTAAAGAATTTTCCTATGTATTCCTATGTAAAACTTTGATTGTCCATTGCAGCCCCACCCTACCCCCCAGGGGTCATGATTTGAACAAACTTGAATCTACACTACCTGAGGATGTTTCCATGCAAGTTTCATCTTTTCTGGCTTAGTGGTTCTTGGGAAGAAAATTTTTAAAAGATGCCATTAATTTTTCTAATTTGTAATTATCTCCCCTTGGAAGAAGGCGTGGCCCTTCATTTGAACAAACTTGAATCCCATTTACTGAAGGATACTTTGTGGCAAGTTTGGTTGAAATTGGCTCAGTGGTTCTTGAGAAGAGGTCGAAAACGTCAAAAGTTTACAGACAGACAGGCAGACAGAAGGAAAGGCATATGGACAACGGACAAAATGTGATCAGAAAAGCTCACTTGAGCTTTCAGCTCAGGTTAGCTAAAAATGTACTTCAAACTAACTGTTGTATTGTTTCTTCCACTCCAATGCTATTTTTTCCTCCATCTTTTTAATGTCTTCCACTGACACAAAAGAGCTGACATACAGAGAAGACACACGGCGGGCAGTAATGAACTCTGTAGATTCTGTATTTTTGACGACTCTGTATTTGACCTTATTTGGCCCTGTGACATTGAGGTTAGAGGTCAGCAGGGAGGTATTTAAGCTGGTAGTACTCCTGGAATCCACCTCAGATCCCCCAACATTAATGGTGTAACTCAACTCCCAGGAAGAAGACTTTCTAGAATTAATTTTTATTATAAAAAAATCACCTCAGGATCAAGATGTCTGAGGTTAAAATATCATGCTTAAGGTTCATAGACTATCTGAAAAGAGAGATAACTCTCACTGGAATAAATTAACCCTCATGCAAAAATGTCCATTTTTAGCAATGTTACAATTCCTTAATTGAACATCTTAGCATTGTGGAAATATGCCTAAACAGTGAGGTATTTCCAATGATTATAATGAATAATGTGAAAATTTCCTGATTTAAAGGAAAAATTACATACTCAGTTGTCTTGTTCTTGCTATTGGAAAATGTTTCTTGTTGATTTCCAAAAGTCAGGTTCACTAAAGATGAGTTGACTCCTAGAAGTGAAATCAAAATCAAATGTGAAACCAGAAGTCTTTGATAAGATTGTAGTTCTATTGGTTTTGAACTTCTGATAGTGTAAGAGAAAATATTTGCCCTTGCATGACTGTAGCTCTATTGGTTTTGAACGTCTGACAGTGTAAGAGAAAATACTTGCACTTGCAACATTTCTCTACAAAATTATGCACCTTTATGTTATCTACTTGTGTACCCAATTTTTGTTGTTGTTGAAATCAGATTAAAACTGTAGAAGGACCAGATTTTGAAGAAAAAAAATGTTCACAGGCAGACAGACAAACAAATCGATGATAAACGTCTTAGTTACCAATGCATAATCTCATATGGTCTTAATGAACTGTTAGAACATAGGAAATCCTCCTTAGTTAGTATAACTTATATGAAATCTATTATGCATACCTGGGTGCTGCTGCACAAACGTGGCAATGATAGCCTTTTTAATGTCTTCCTTGGCAGACTCAGACACTTTGTGGTTGAGATGGACAGAGAAAACCTTGTTCTTATCAGTAACCTCATCAGTATGTACCAGACTGAACTTCTGTTTCCATGATGTAGTAGCATTAAAGGTTGTGTTAAAAGTTGTGCTGTTAATGGCTGGTGGGGCAATAATACTACCATTGACTTTCAGAATGAAAGGCAAATGCCAAGCTGATGATCTATAAAGAAGAGAAAAACAACAAATACATTCTCAGTTTTTTTTTGTTTTTTTTTTTTGACAAAAACCTGAACAACCATCAATGATCTAAAATGTATGATAATGTTCCTGAATCACATTCAATGATGTGTGATGACTTACCCATCTTTTTTCTTGTACTCTCTTGTTGTGTTTGTCATCTCTACTGAAACTGTAGATCCTAGAACAATGCAACTTCATTATTAGACAAAAATATGATTCATAAATTAGACATTAATTTTTTCATGTGACAGAAACTTTCATATCCTTATAGCAAATATTCATGATCTTTTTATAGTAACCTTTGAAATACTTTGCGTAGTACCACTGTAACCATGCCCCAAATCTTCCATAAAGTGAAGGAGGAACCCAAGTCTGTAGAATCAAGCCTCCTGATTGGCTATAACTGATATATTTGTGATTTCTTGACCACGACCACGTAAAATCCAGTTTGTGACCATCCGATGAAGTGAAGTGGTATTTATTATTAAAGTTATTCCAATTAATAGGTAAATATGATGATGGCTTCTGATATTTTCCATTTTTCACAATGTGGTAATAGACAACCCAGGATGACTTCCTGTTGGAAATAAAGATAGAAACACTCAAAGAGACATGTAATTTCATAACTATACATCAACAAATACATTTATTTGATGATATTCATTTTCCATGCCACTGTGACAAGTGATTTTATTATTTATTCACAACACAAAGAAATCTCCTTGTGAAAATAGATAGCCCTGTAATATTTTTCAATTCTTTTTTTTAAAAGAGAATTCCAAATAAAAATATATTTTTGATATAAGATTTATTTCTCTTACATAAATAAATCTAACAGAAAGACATATTCTTTTCATTTAAAAATATCTCTTTTTCTGTGAGAAATGTCTCATCTTTTCTAATGATAATACAATGGCTTGACATATACAACTGGTATTTTTTGGAAGACAATACAATCTATCAGTACACTAGTGCTTACCTAATGACATCTAAATGGTAAGTTATTTTATACTTACCCATGACTATCAATAACTTCTTCTTGGTGAGCAATAGAAATCTGGCATCCACAATCTAAAAAGCAATTATCAGTAGACATAAAAACTATAATCATGCACTCATTAACCCCGTAGCACCATTTAAACATTTCTATTCCTCACTTTTTTGGTAATTAACAGTTGATATTAAAAATTCCAGTGAAGCTTCAAAACCTTACAAAATTTGACACTTGAACAAGTAAATCAGTTTGAGAAAACTTTCCAGTTCAATAAAGTAATAGATCTATAAGGAGTTCACTTTTCCATCCCTAATGGAAAGAGCTCATCTTTACTGCAAAAGGAAAAACTAATTCAAAAGTTTAATATAATTTGCTTTATTAAAAAATACCTGGATGTCTGTCAATATATTCCTTGGTCAGAGCTTTTTCCACTTTCCCATACTCAGAAATAGACAGCTTGTGATTGAGATAGAACTTCAACAAGTACTGATAGTAATAGAGGTCAATATCTGTTCTGACCTTGACCCTATTGGAGGTCACTGACGTCCAGTCTATTAGTGTGGTATTCAATGTTGGCCACAAATGGGCATCCATAACTACCTTATTCTTGTATAAAATAAAGTATGTCAGTCTCCATATAGATTTTCTGCACAAAGAGAAAAAATATCGTTATTATATTCAAATTTACTGTGCATGACATTGATAATCAGTTTGTATCATTTATAATTTCATTTTGTAGAATAACTTACCCACTTCCTGCATAGTAACTTTTCTGTGGCAAAACATGGACGGAGATGCAATTACATGTCTTTAAATCTATAAAACAGAAGATACTTTCAATTTTGATTTATTTTTGATAAATGATTTTTTCTTTAGCAATGTGAAACACAGTTATAAATTTGAAATAAAATCAGATTAAATAATTTTACACACAACTCAACAAAAGTAAAGCAAAATTTTGCCAAGATGACACAATTCAATTTATCATTACCTGATCTTACGTTCATTTTGTACCAGGCCTGAAGTAATGCCGATTCAAGGTTACGGATTGCCTCAGTATTCACCGTCAAATGCTCCTCCGTCCACAAGTGGAATGACCTTGAGAATCTCCACTGTCCGACAACAGAGTTATCCACCAGTTTGTAGGTTTCATTGTACACATTGGTCCAGGAGAAATCTAATTTATATACATCAATGGAGGAGTGGTACTGTGAGCTGATGAGGCGAGTTCCATGTTGGACAAAATATACCAACCGCCAGCACCATTTCCTATGTGAAACATAATTTAGATAATAGATTAATAAATCTTTAATAAAAATGAATGCTATTAATATGTATTTAAATACAAGCCTTTCATGTAAAATGTTACATTAGCAATGCTTAGGGAAGCATCTCTTAGCATTTTAATTCCCAGCTCTGGTTCAATGACTAAGTAACCTATGCAAACCTGATCAAAACTCATCATATAAATGTACATCCTTTTTAAGTAACTCATATAAATCATCAAAATGCAAAATACAAATGTACCTCCTTTTTAATAATTCCCCCCCAAAAAAAAAAAAATTCTGCTTCTTAGTTTCACGAACAAGTACTGCATGTGCAGATGTTTGAATTTAAGCACCTTCTGTCCTTTATATTCCCAGCCTTTTCATGACTATACCGCCAACATATGAATTTACATGTCACCAATGGAGACAAGTACTTATAAGCACCACTAATGATATCAATAATTCCTTTATGATACACAGATACTTTAAATAACACCTAACTAAAGGTACTGCAATTAAAATGTCTTGATATAGTAAACTAGTCTTTTCTAACTAGAAAATCTGAAGCTTACCTTGTGATATCACTCCAATACTGCTCTTGTTCTTTAATCAAGATGGTGACATCCTGCCCTGGACTACATTCTTAATATATATGGACACAGATAATTAACAAATTAACTGAGATAATACAATCCTAATATGTTCAATAAATTTCAAAAAAACTTTAATATTTAAAATCCCTTCACCCACCAACAAAAAATGTTATACTTACTAAGTACACTTTTACACCATTCAGGCTTCAGCACTCTTCTGACCCTAAACCATTCTTGTTCTGACACTTCAGAGGAAAAGGTCAAGGAGAAATGGCTATTATACGATAACCAGGTCGATGACATTTGACCTGTGTATAAATGATACGCTTGACCAGTGATGCCCTTGATTTCTTCTGATTGGAACAACTGATGTGTGACAGGGGTGACAAATTGGCTGCGGAGTTCCCCTTGATTGGACATCAAATAAAATACCAACTTCCAGAGTATAGAGCTGTTCAAATGAAAACTCATGTTTACATGTCATTGAGTAATAAGAGTGCAGGCAATATGAAATCCAACAGCAATAATTTCAGACGCTTCCACCTTTTTTTTTTCTTTGTTTCAACCTACCTGTTGGTTCTGAACACTTTTTCCTGGTAGTCAATATATAAATCTAAATTCTTATATTTTGATGATTCTGAAATTTAAGATAAAAATATACATGTATATGCTATACCTGTAAGTAAATTTTTTAAATGTTTAAAGTGTTTTAAAATTTGATTCTTCATATTTTTTTCAACAATAACTGACAGTGTTTTCCATCATAAACATATGTGATAATTAATTACCAATTGTTAGATCTGCTATAAATGTAATTTTGAAATTTACCTATCCATTTTCTTCTAATAATATCCAGAAGTTGCACCTTCATACTACCTTCCAAATCAAGATAGTTAATCTTGGTGGTGAAGTATAGTGTAAACTGGTTCCTTGTGTTTAGTAGTCCTTCTGTCAATACATACACTGGGTATTTTGAGGCTAGAGAGATCATAGTTATGTTGTACACTAGTGTTCTCTGACTATACAGTACAGACACTGGGGATACAAGCTTCTCATCCACAAAAAGAGCATACCATAACATAGTGACAGCTTCTCTGAAAGAAATCAAGAATACATTATATAGTGGACTCACCTGAAAAAACAACAATGGAGAAAAAACACTCATAATGTATAACCAAACAAAAAAAGTCACAACTAGGTTGATTTGGTGACAGAGTATCCAAATTATAAAAATATTATTAGCAAGAATTCACAACACTGTATTACTGTGTTTGTTATAAATCAATTATTGTATATACATGTATATACATGTATTGTCTGAACTCCATTGATTTTATCCATGTTTACAACATATTTGGAAATAAGTCAAATACAATTAAGTGCCCGTGTGTAGGTGTTCAGTGTGTCACTCATATTGCCCCCATCTGGCTCAAACTTAACCCAAAGAGTGTCCTCATGTACTTTGCTAAAAAACAGGATCTTCTGAGATATTCAATTTATGCTTTAATTTCTAGAGTTAGGGATGCATCCAGGTTTGATTTGATTATATGGATGTCCTGAGCATCATATTAGTTGTTTGATAAATGAAGAAGGCAACAAAGATAGAAACAATCAATCTACAAATCACAAATCATATACTTACCTCTTCAAATATACAGAAAAAGTGCTATATCCCAGAATCTGGACATGAAGTCTTTTTCCTGCAAAAGAACATATTTCTTTTTGTATATGTAACAACTTATTTCTACAACATAAAGCTAGCACCTAAAGCTGATATTCTTATTCTGATCAGCAAGAAAAACGAGTTTAAATTTAGTACCCACAAAATACCTGAAAATGTGGTAGAATTCCAAGCACTTTGCAGGGACTCAGTTATGTCTTTCCATCGATCAAGCTTGATGTAGCCCTCAAAATAGATCGAGAACAGATCAGTCTTGAGGTAGAGCTGTTGGAGGGAGTGTTTAGTGTACACCTGGTAAGGCTGACCTCCTGACCTGGAGAAAACCAGCTGTGATTGGTTCTTCCTCCAGCTCTGTAACCATGACATCGAGGGGGTGGAGATCAGATGAGCATTAATCACAAGGTCACCAAGTGACACAAAACATACCACGTTGGACACAATATCACTAGAAAAATGAATAATAAAAGATCTCATTGCAGAAATATTGGCTTGTCAACAAAATATTGTTATAATAACAGGGTTACATAATTAACAAAACAATTATTATCTTGGTCATAATGTATCAATATGTCATCCCCAAATCCCAGAGCAAAAAACTTACCCTGATGTGCTGACATATTCCTCAATTAAATGACTGGGAGCTATGCTGGCAAGGGATACTGAAAATAATCATTTATAAAAAGAAATGAAGCAAAACTGTTGGAAGATAATTATTTAAGGATATTTTCAAATTTTGTGAGAGATATTGGTGTGTAAATTAAATATAGACTTGTCAGGCATATTGCATGAAGATTGAATGCAGCGGCCTTCATGAAAAATATGCTTATGTGCATTGGTCTGCATGATTAACACATCAATAATTCACATGTACAGTAAAATACGCTTATAACAAAGTGCCAGGGACAGACGATTTTGCTTCATTATAAGCTTAATTCATTATATCTGTCAAGTTTACAATAAATTTTAAAGTCACAAGGAATGAAAATCACTTTGCTATAAGCATCATTTCATTATATGCATGTTCACTATAAGCGTGTTTTACTGTATCTATGAATGTTAGGTATAGTGCAAGTCAAATTTTATTAGAATTAATTAATCAATCCAATACTGAAGGGGGAGAGCCTTTTAAAAAAATGTTTACAGACAGAAAGGCAAATAGATTGATACCTCACAAGAAGTATTAGCTCCTCTGATCAACAAATTGAGATAAAAACTCAGAATCATAATCCACATGTCATATTCCTGGTAACTCACCATTATAGTCCAGCCAGGCTTGTTTTGTAAGTGCTGTAAACTGGTCTCCGTCCCCAGGATCTACCTCACCCTCTATGAGGAGGTTATAACCATAGCTATAACGATACTGTCTAGATCCATTATACAACTTGTACTGATTGCCATTTATATCAGTCAAATTTTCCATTCTCATATACTGTAAATAATTTTTGTTTCCATCTAGATTTGGATATGAAAATATCTCCCGAATTTGAAAGTAGTAAACTAAAGCTGTTAAAGGCTCCCTGAAAAAGAAAAAAATTTCTTTTATCACATGGACATACACAGATATGTATATGCATTGAATAAAACAATAAAACTCTATTCTCTTTATCAGCACTTTTTTTTCCAATAAAGTATTTGGAAACCATACAAAATAATTAAATGGCTCCAATTTTGCAACTGTAATTGAAGAAATATATCCCTTGTATAACTGAAAAATTTGAAATTTACCCATTTTCTCCCACATATTTTTCTCTTCTGTGAATAAAAACATTACATATTGAACAGTTATAACCTGAAAAAGAGAAAAAAAGTAAGTAAAGAATATATAATATTTAATAAATGTAACCCTAGAAAACTACAACTAGCTCTTAATGTAATACAAAATCTCTACCTGGTTCAGCCTTATACCAAGCATTCTGGATTTCTTTACCAAATTTGGTCAAATCACTCTGTACAACAGAACCTTCTATAAATAGATCATAGTGGTGTCTGTACCATAACAGTTCATGGTCATCCAAACTTCCTGTGTAGAATTTAGCTTTGATTTCATAGTGGTTCTGTAGAGCTACCATGTATGGATCCTTATTGTTAGGTGGCTGAATTGATTTTCCCATATACAGGACAAAAATATACAGCCTGGTGACCTCTGACCTACAAATTTTATTGAAAAGAAGTCAGTTTTTGCTTCCATTGTATTGGAAATACTATGACAGACATTCCCAGATTGATACATTGTGTTTCAAAGTAATGCACAGAGAAAGCTTACCCATTGTAATCCATGTATTCATCTGTACTCTTAATTGATATGTCATAAAGTTGGCAGGCTGTTGCTGATGAATCTTTTAAAAAAAATCACTCTGCATGAACATTACCGGCATTTAATAAACTGTCAAACCTGGGAATCTCAAAAAAAGTTAAATAAGTGATATACTAATATATGGCAAGGCGATTTGACAGTCCCAATGATAACATTATTAAGAATTCAGTTTCAAACTTGTTATCTTCATTCATGTGAAATATAAGCATTCCCTCAACCTTAACTTCAAAACAAAACAGTATGTGACAAAAACATTGAAGACTGAAATACTTACTACAATTATTCTGAGTTTTATAAACTTCCAATATAACTTTCTCCCAAATAGCCATTTCCATATCAGATGGACCTGGTCCATAAACATCAAGGAATAAACTGTCTGATAATGGGAATATAAACTCCGGGACAACATCATACAATTTAACATTGGAGGTGTAGTGTTTTTCTATCTGTGCCTGTATGTCTTTCTTACTGGGTGGCTTGATGTTGGATGATACACCTGATATCGATATATTATATCGAAGGAAAGTCAGCAATTCTCCTCGGTGCTTCCTACAAATAAGTCAATAAAATTAGCTAGGGTGTTTCAATGCAAAGTTTTAATTATTTCATTGAGCAATTAATTCAAATTAATTAAAGGTATAAGTCAGAATATTCTTATATATACCTCTCTTCATAAATGAATTTAGGTGTAGATATTCTATAAGGAAAGTCCATGTTACTCCTGTGCAGTTCCTGTATAGCTGTACAATTTTAAAAAATGGAACAAATATAAATTTACCTTTTATATGTGAATATTTTCCACAAAAAACATTTCTATTACAACATTTAGTGATAATTACTAGCATGTCAACATAACTGGAACTTACAACCTCAACAAATACTGAAATATAAATGATGTCTTTTAAAAGAGGACATACATGTATGCTCACTTATTACATTCCAAAGAACTATTAGAACTTAAGTAATCAATGAAAATTGGTCTAAGCAAATTGAAATGATTCCAAATACTATTTATTTTTATCATGGGATATCTCTTCTTGGAATTCACATAAAATGCATAATAAACAAAACACAACAAGACCTTTATTTGCCTCCATATATGCATCTTTAATAGCATCTATCAGTGTTGAGTCTATCTCACTTCCCAGAAGATTGATAAAGAAGCTGTCCTCAAAAACCTGCACTACAGAAGTCGATGCTGGCACTTTGTGTGTGGTAGGTTTAGTGGTGCTAGGACTTGGTGCCGCTGTAGTGGTGGTGGTAGTAGTGGTGGACTGAGTGGTTGGTTTAGTTGTTACAGTGGTGGATTTCTTGGTAGTAGTCTCTGTGGTTGAGACTAGTGTTGTTGTGGTAGATGTTGTTTCTGTGGTTGTCTCTGGTGTTGTGGGTTGTGGGGTGGTTGTTGATTCTGTTGTTGTTTTGGGTTGTTTGGTTGATGTTTCTGTGGTTGTCTCTGGTGTTGTAGGTCGTGGTGTTGTTTTTGGTTGTAAGGTTGTTTTCGTTGTTATCTCTTCCGTTGTGAGTTTTGGGGTAGTTGTTGGGTTCTGAGTTGTTTGCCTCTGTGTTGCTGGCTGTTTTGTTGTCAGTGGAGTTGTTGATGGAGTTGCTGTTGAAGATGTTGTAGATTTTGTCTGATTGATGGTTGTTGTGGAGTCACAAGAGGTGCTTGCTGACAATAAAACATTTTTTTTTTGTAAAAGACTGTGTTGACTAAAAAAACTGCCCTCCATAAAAAAGTGTAGTAAAACTATTCTTGTCAATGAAAAATCCACTGACTTTAAATAGGACGTGTTGTACTCTAAGGGTTGTTACTTTTACTTCTGCGTTATAAAATTATAACTTTTGCTTTATTAATTATATTTGTAGTCATGTCAGAAATTTGGGAATTTCTGAGTCTACCAGTCCAAACAAAGAGTCTATCAATCCAAACAAAGAGATAATATACATAAAATGCTTCATGCTAAAACATTCTACATGCAGACACTAATTGAGTTCAAATGAAATGATATTTGTGGCATTTTACTTTTAAATACTAAATGATCTCTTTGGTAAACTCATTAAGCTACCTAGGCAAAAACTAGCTTTAAAAAAACTAGTTGGATAGATAAGTAAAAACCAGCTAAGTAAAAACTCTTTCAGCTAGCTAGGTAAAAATATTAACCAAAGATGAGAACAAAAAAATTATCTACATTACCTTTACCAGCACAACAGCAGTAGGATTCATTCTTCTTTTGACCATATCTCACACAGGTTCCAGATCCACATTGGTTCAAATAAGCTGAAATTAAGTATCATACTACTGTAAGTATTGGTAGTTAACTAGTTAATAAAGAAAGTAGTTGTCTACATAAAAGCCAATCTTTGTTCAATCGGAATATGCAGGCAACATAAAACAAGGGTTAAATGGTAAAAAATATTACACAAGCCACCTTTGAGGTACACTGATACCATATTTAATGAGATAAATTATTATGACCACTTAATGTTGCTAATGAAAATATTCTTTGAAACTGCACTTAGCTGACTACCATTGTTTTTGATGGAGATATCAGGAACAATATGGAATATACATTGGTTCCCATATATGAATTTAGTATATATGAATCCATTTTAGTATTTTTGAAGGATGTCCTGACATCAAAAAAGAATTCTTGATATCAATAACTCAGATTCTTGACATCCAAAAAAATATTTGATATCAAAAATTTGATTTTTTTGGATATCAGAAAATGATTCTTGTTATCAACAAATTAAATATTTCATATCAGTTAATGTCAATTTTCTAGTATCAAAACATGGGTAATCACTCGACATGACAATAAAAGTAAGGCAAATCTCACACCAAATTTTTTCCATTGTGTGCATCTCTGGATCAATATCCAGCAAGTTTGCTTTGGGTAGGCCTCATGGTAACATGGGAATGTACCAGCTCCAAAAACATTAACCTGATCACTCATCTTTAAAAGGTAGGTCAGATCCAGCATCTGAAGTAAGTTTGGTAGTGCACATTCCTTAGATGCATCATTTATGCAAATTTGATCCAGGTAAGGCTTACACTTACTTCGGAATAGACCTACTCCAAAAATGTTCACTGGGATACTGATATCAAAACCAGGTAAAACTCGATATCAAAAATCATATTTTGACGTCCAATGAATTTTTTGATATCTGAAAATTCATTTGAATATCTGAAATCATAGAATGATTTTTTTGATATCAGAAATTTGAATTTTTGGTATTAAAAACAAAAAATGATTTCTGATAAAGGAAAATAGATTTTTTGTTATAAAAAAAATTTGTTCATGCTTTTTTTTTTTTTTTTTTTTAAAAAATCCATTTCCTGATATCAGAAAATCATGCAGTTTTGATATCAAAAATTTTATCTTTTCATGTTAAAAAATCATATTCCAATTTCAGAAAATGCCTCAAAAAAACTAAAACATTGCCTCATAATATTGCAGCTGAAAATATAGAGTTAAACCAGAAGTTTCTGACAAGACTGTAGCACTACTGGTTTGTACTTATAACAAAGGAAAAGAAAAGAGGCACTTGGACTTGAAATTTTGCAACAGCAATAAAAAATGATTCTTGGTTTAGCCTCTTTTTGTGGAGAGATTTTACTGCAATCCGATTGAAACTGTAGGAGGAGTAGCCCTAAAAATTTTTTTTACAGAAATTTCTATTTTTTGTAACCATGACAACTTCAAAAAACAATAAAGACAATGAGTATCTAAGTGTCGTCTACTTGCATGCCAAGTGATACAAAAATCAGACCAAAACTGTAGGAGGAGTAGCATTTCAACAGTATTTCAAAGAAATTTCTATTTTAGCAAGTAACCATTGCAACATTGTTCATTGAATTATGTATTTTAGTATAGTCTACTTGAGTGCCCTTTTATATTGAAATCAGACAAAAACTGTAGGAGTAGCATTTTGAAAAAAATGTTTACAGACAGACAGCTAGACAGACAGACGAATGGACGATGGATACCAAACTTTCGCATAAGCTTTTCTGGTCTCTGACCAATAGAGCTAGAAAAAAAAACCTTGAAGGACAAACTAAATGCTAATGAGATCAAATTAAAAGGATATATATACTTTTACTTCAAATCAAAAGGATATATATTTTTAACTAACTCACATTTCTGTAGATTCAAAACTACACCACATTTTTTATCTCCATTGAATATTATCTCTCCTGCCATTGAAGACAAATTTGATGGTGGCTGTACACCATGAAGTTTAACATCAGTTATATTTTTTTGATTTGGTCTGCCTTGTATGAGCAGTGTTCTATAACCATAGCTCCCACTGGCTGTGACTGAGATTCCATCAAAAGTCAACACAGCTGAGGTCAATATTTCATCTTTATTTCTTTGGGTCACATTCATTTGAATTATCTGTGATGATCCACGGGGGCAGGTATAAAAACCTTCCCACAAGCTTGGCAGTAGCTCTGTGGAATCTGTTAATTAGAATATACATTTCTCAAAAAAATTCTAGATATTTTATAGTCCACATCCTAAATTACACTTAAAGAGATAATAGTTCTTTTTAGTGATTGGAATTGATGAATATCAAATTAATCTATAAGAATCACAAATTGTGAAAAAGAAAGGGACTCTTATTACCTTTATAAAATCCACAGTCTCCCTCACCCCCAGGGATCTGTACATCACAATCCTTCCCTGTCCACCCAGGGTTACAAATCTTCTCTCCTCTGACCCCACATTTATAATGTCCATTACAACCGAAGTCCTCAGCAACACAGTTAATGTCGCAGTCTGGTCCATAATAGTTCTGGTCACAGTATGATGTCACACTCAAATTTAACCTAAAACAGTTTGCGTAATATATCCTGCTCTGTTGATATTCAATTCAACAACAAATGCGTTTATTAGAATGATACAAAGAGAAAATTGGAGTCTCTGACAAGATTTTACCTCAACTGCTTTTACCCCCCACCCCCAGGGCCTGGGAAGGGACCGCGCCATGCGCCATATGCGCATACTGTTGAAAAATGGCGTAATGAAATAATGGTGCACTGTGCCACACGGCGCGCCTCGCAAAATGTGGGCACGCATGTTTTATTAGTTTGTAAGCTCATCGCAGTCAGAGCTATCGGTATTCTCCATCGAAGTTAGATAGAATCTGTGATCTCAAATCTGTGATCATCGCAGTCAGAGCTATCGGTATTCTCCATCGAAGTTAGATGGAATCTGTGATGTATCAGTATCATATAGTACATCATTCGGCAAACTGACATACATTGGCAAAGAAACAAACCTCTCCTCCCATGTGGTTCGTAAGTGTCTAGTCATTTTCGACGGCTGACTACAGCTTTACGAAAGTCACGCACATCGAAAATATTACATTGTACTACCTTAAAATGAAATGCCTTATCAACAAAGTTTACATATCTTGGCCTGTCCCTTGATCTCTAAATCAGCTTTTCTAAAAAAAAATGCTTGCTTTTGGTTTACAGGAATATATTTTATTCTAAATACTTGCTGTGTTAGAATCTAGTTGTCAATGACAAATGATTTATGAAGCTCTTAGAAACAGAAAAATCGTTTCCATTTATCAGTGTCATAAGATTTGTCAATTCCTATTGCCTTTTTCTTTCTTTCTTTCTTTCTTTTTCTTTTTTATATTTTTCTAAATTTTGTTGTCAGAGATTTATGCATTCTCATATCATCATACTATAATAATTTTAGAATGGCCCCAATATATTTCCCCTTGGCCTCTTAAATTTTGAAATGGCCCCATCATTTTATGAATAGTGGGGCCACTGGCCCAATCTCTTGCTCGACCTTCCCAGGCACTGCACCCCCCATCCCCCCAAAAAAGTCATGAAAGAGAAAGTTACTTTATAATAAATAGCAAATATATTTTTTTTAAACATTTTTCTTCCCAAAAAACACTTTCTCCTTAAAATTAGACAGAAAGGATTTGTGTTTATAGAATAATTTTGCGTCATATATATTAATTCCATCAAAAGATGCACAATATGTGAAATATTCAGTCTGGACCCAATTTAGGATAACCCTGACCCTGACTTAGTGTGTGGGTAATGGAATGGCTGAGATGTAAAGTTAAACATAGGTAATCAGAGATTACAGAGCTCACCTCAACAAATGTTGTCCTTAAGTAAGGCAAAATCTCAAACTAATAATCTAGTAGTGTGCATCCCTAGATGTAACATTTATGCAATTTAGGGCTTGCAGCTTGGGAATGGACTTACCTAAAAACTTTAAACTAGTCACTCATCCAGAAAATGTAAGTCATATCCAGCATCTGAAGCAAGTTTGAGAGTGTTCATCCTGTGATGCATCATTCATGAAAGTTTGGATCAAATAGCCCTTATAATTTACTTTAACCTGGTCACTCATCCGGAAAATGTAGGTCAGATCCAGCATCCGAAGCAAGTTCAGTAGTGTGCATCCTTAGATGTATCATCCATGCAAGTTTGGTCAACATAGGGCTTATAGTTACTTGGAAATGAGACCTGCTCTAAAAATTTTAACCTGATCACTCATCCAGAAAATGTAGGTCAGATCCAGCATCCGAAGCAAGTCCAGTAGTGTGCATCCTTAGATGTATCATCCATGCAAGTTTGGTCAATATAGGGCTAATATATAGTTACTTGGAAATGAGACCTGTGCTCTAAAAACTTTAACCTGGTCCCTCATCCAGAAAATGTAGGTCAGATCCAGCATTCGAAGCAAATGTGGTAGTTTGCATCCTTAGATGTATCATCCATGCAAGTTTGGTTAATATAGGGCTTATAGTTAATTGGAAATGAGACCTGCTCCAAAATTTTTAACCTGCTATAAGAACTTTAACCTTCTCCAAAAACATTAACCTGGTCATTCTTCAGCTGAAATTTCAGCATCTGAAACCTTGGCTCGTACAATGAAACATACTAAAAGCATCCTCCATGCATCAATGCATTAATATAGGGCACAGAAGTACTTGAAAAGAAAACTGCACCAAAATCTTTAACCTGGGACACCGACGCCGAGGGTATTACATAAGCTCCCCCAACTTCGTTGAGGTATGTGAGCTAAAAGTGAATTGACTGATGGAAGTGTAATATTGTGTCATTTCTTGCATAATAATTAAATGCAGGAGTATCAAAGTACAAACTTGGATCTTAGCTGTGGTCTTTCCCCAGTGATTAGATAATCCATGTACTCTATTACAGTAGAGTTATAGTAGGCAGCCATGTTAAATACGAAATGGAAAGTATCAACCAATACTGAGGCTCCTCCCGTGTCCTGGTCTGTCACATTCACTTTTATAAACAAGGCATCCTAAAAGAAATTACAATTCAAACATTATAGGGCCTTCATAAGATAAAGAATTGTCTATGCATGGAAGTGCATATGTAGTGTACACATCATGGGGATGAAAAAGCTAAAGTATCTGTAGGGTGATCTTAACGATGGTAATGTCAAAACCTAGAACATTTTAGCGATTTCAACAATCCATGCACTTTATATCTTCCTTTTTCCTACCAGATTCCTGGCTTTCAGTATAATTATGATAATCTGTTACTGTACTTCTCCATCTAAAAAATATGCACCCTTGAATTTAAAAAAGCTCCTTTGCATACAGGTAATTACAAAACATCAGTTTTGTTTTCAAATATTAATGGCTTGCTGGATAGCTCATTAGAGATATACGGTTTGGATTGACATTAGAATCACATAAGGATTCAATCTAGTTGTTGTCACTTAGGCGTGGCATTAAATTTTATAGGATATATTAGTTGATTTCAATACTGTATGAAGCTATATGGCAAGGTATTCTGCTGTAAACAGCGCAATACTAGAGACTTCAGCTCAGGTTTAGTAATCAAATGTGCAAGCGCTTGTATGTGTAAATTACAAGATAGAATTAGATGAATGCAATTTGCTGTAGACCTGATTGGGTTCACATGGATAATTATCATCTTCCTGTTTAAATCTTGTGCATGTGAGTCGTTTTTACCTTCAGACTGTTTGTGATGGGAAAACTGAGTTTCTGATTTTCATTAAAGTCAATGTTGTTGAAGTCTGGTTCAGCGATAACCTGTTTTGTTCCATATGTACAGTCAGATCCTCCACGATTTCTCCTACGAAAAAGAGAAAATCATTAATTCATATTTCCCACCACTTTTGAGAGAAAACTCATCCTAGTTTCTGAATCAAATCTGTGCTGATATTCTGAAAAGAAGTGTGGCGATTGAATTTAAAAGGGACAAAACCCTGCTTTTTAGGTGTCCATAATGACAATAAAAAAAACTCTGGCTACAATCTCTCATATGAGCACAAGTGACCAAACTGTATCCAAACAATAATATATGTTTTACCATGATACTGCATGAGTTCCATATCACCAAAATGTTAATCATAAATAGAAAAGGAACCCATTCCATATTGCAATAATGAGTAACTTTCTTTAAACATACATTATTTGAAATGAAATGGGCATTGCCTAAATTAAAAAAGTAATCAGTATACCAATGAATGATTAGAAGTTTAATACATGTGTTTTATAATTCATTTACTAAAGCCAGCCTTTATACCTCATTCTATCCTATACTTACCCTATACATATATCAAACTTTAAATCACATTTGTCCAGTTGACATTTTAACACATCTGAGTCACAGCATGTTCCATTGAAATCTGTTCCTGACGGGTTATCGTATGAGTGAAGTCTCACCACGAATTGCCCAGTACCAACTACCACCTGAAAGGCATCATAATGAAATTCATTTCAATGCAGTCAAGAAGGCCTGGCAATTTAGGAGGATGCAACAAATTAAACAATGAATTAAAGCTATATGGTGTCATATTTCTATGATGGCAGATTCTGCCCCTTACATGCAAGATAAATTATGTCAACATGCCAAATTTATAAATTATGTCTAGACGCAAGGTAACATTTCACATGCAATCTACCAAATGAATCCTACTCAGAAAAACCTGATCTCAATTTGGGTAAATTTACTTACTTAGTCTAACATTAGCATCTTGCATCAAACATACAAGATGTATGAGGCACTGTTTTGGTGTTTATTGCCATTTAGTGATATTACCTATTCGAATAGGTGATATTATCTATTCAAATAGGTCATATCTATTCAAATAAGTGATATTGCTTATTCAAATAGGTGATATCAAATTGGTGATCGAATAGGTGATTTCACTAAATGGCAATTAATACCAAATATCTGTCCTGTTCTAAGCTAGTGTTCCTTACACAAGCTACTGATAAGCATACCAGAATCGATCCCTCCAGGATGCAGGATACTGGGGTATATTTTGTTTTTAAAATGATACTGAGCTATAGCTATCTATCTGTTTGTCAGCGGATTTGCAACTTACATGTATATGGAAGATTATGATGGAAAAAGAAAATGAATCATTGTGTCATTCTGAACTTCCGAACAAAGCTACACATAAGGGTGGTAGAGTCCCGCTATAGCTCAATATCGTTTTAAAACCAAAATATACTGCGCCAGTATCCTGCAGGGATCGGTTCTGGTAGGCTTATCAGTTGCTTCTGTTAGGGATCTTATAATAAGTATAAAGGTCCCTGCTAATATACGAGTTTTCCAAAAATAATGTCATTTCACATTCATCCCATGAAAATCATGCAAGTATCTTGCTGAAACCACATTGACACGTTAGATTGATCACTGAACCGTAGCGGAAGAAAATTTCATGTTCATAATTTCACTGACTTAGCTACAGTGTACATTCATCACTATACTCAAAATGACTAGAAAAAGAGCAAACAATGCACTTGAAATTAGGGCCTATATGAAAGGTCAGTCCTTGTTTGATATTAAACCTGTAGATATTCATAGTGAGGTATGTGATATCTATGGAAATGGTCAATATTGTCTCATAGGTCTGTTTGTAAGTGGGTTGCTAAATTTAAAACAAGTTACGAACACCTCAAAGATGCTGCTCGCCAAGGTCATCCTGCTACAGTTACAACCAATAATAACATAGTAAAAATCCACGAAATCTTACAAAAAGATGCAAATATACCATGAGGCAATTGGCTCAGATGACAAACTTGTCGTTGGCACGTGTTCTTCCAGGTACTTTGAAAAAAAAATCTAAAGCTTAGAAAGATAAATGCTAGGTGGATACTTCATTTGCTTAGTGATGAACAAAACAGAGTCTGTGTTAAAAATGCAAAGAAATTATCAAAATTGTATTTAAAATATACCAAAGACTTTTGATAATTTAGTTACTGGTGATGAGACCTGGATATAATATTTTGAACCAAAACGTAAGAGTTCTAACAGAATCTGGGCATCAAAGAATGCAAAACGCCCTAGTATTGCTAAAAGATTACGAACGTGTAGAAGCTTTTATATGTTAATTATTTTCTTTGACAATAAAGGCCTGTCATGCAAATCTTGTGTCAAAGGGCAAAGCAGTCACAGGTAACTTCTATAAAAATGTTGTTATTTAAAAACTGAAGAAACATTATGAAAGTCGTTGCTCCAAAACGGGTATGAAGTATCTCCGAATTTTGTTCGACAATGTGCCTGCACACAAAGCACGCATTGTGACCGAGTATTTGGAGGCGGAAAAGGTTAGTGTTCTACCATACCCCCCCCCGTTTGATTTAGCCCCGTAGAACTTCTTTCTGTTCCCCAAACTTAAATTCCACCTATCTGGAAAAAAGATAAAAATCACGAATTGTCCTTTGGTCTGCAATTTATCAGTATATGATGGGTGTCCCTGTTGAGGAGTAGGCCTATGAAAAATGATTCCAGAAGTAGATTGATTGTCTAAAAAGTGTATCCTGGCAAAGGGTGAGTACTTTGAAGAGCAGGGACGAATTAAAGGATCAAAGATTAATATATAATGTGGGTTAAAACAGCCGTCGTTATTTTTGGAACATCCCTTGTACACTCAGGTGTCTTCCTTACACTGATATTACACGTTCATTCATTGTAAAAGTGTGATGAATACTGTATAATTTTCCACAAGAATGCTTTGCAAGCTTTAAAAAGCACGACATGCCGACAGGAGGCTGCCATTATGATAATCAAGGAAGCTTTCAAAGGGGAGTAACCCTTCCAAGCATTATCAATATTACTGGAGAGTTACCAAAGGGGAAGTAACTATTTCCAAAATTCAGAAAGTATAATTTTTGAAGAAAAAAAATCTACATTATTATCATGATTTAAAAAATATTTTAAAATGTTTTAAAAATATTTTTCATAATTTCGAAGCACAATTTTGTTCAACAATACATTTTGAATTCATTTTTTTAAGTTTCTAATTATTTGATTTTTACCAAATTACGTGTGTTTTGCCATCAAAGTTGTAATTTTATTACTTCTACTTGAATTTTTAAAGCATAACTAAATTAGACTTATCGGATTTTTTTTAAAAATTCTGTGTAAATGTATCTTGAACGAAAACATATCTGAAAGTTTATTCCACCCCCCCCCCCAAAAAAAAATTTAAAGCTTTTTTTTATATATATATGCAAACTTTAGGAAACCCAATAAATACATCATTTCTATAAGATTCATTTAAATTAAATTTCTAATGCTGTTATAAGATTTATTTTTCATAAGCAATCACGAATTCCATCGGTTAAATCTTCAGTAATTAAATTTGATTCATCCTAGTCATAGGTTGAGTAATACAACATAACCACATGTTACCATAAATAGAACATGTCCAAATATTTTCTCACTTTGGATATATTCAATATTTAGAAAATAAAATTTTCTATGAAAAATTCGGAACCCTCCTTGTGGAATATATATATAATTTTTTTTTGCCTGATTTTCTTTAAGACAAACTCTTAAGATCGATAATTGTCTTTTGGATGGTCAACCACTTTTTATGATTTTTAAGGTCGTTGAAGAGGGCAAGGTGATCATAACCATTTTTAAACTATTTTAATTCTTTGAACGAAGACCTCTATAAATGTATACGAAACTGCATTAATTACTATAACTGGAACGTATTTTTTTTCTTTATTGAAAAATCGTGTATGGCGAAAAAAAATCCTATTTAAATTTTTTAAGTGGAACTGCGGGGTAGTTCGTTGACAACCTAGCCTCCGTAATTTTGGCTATTTAATTGCTTGCTATGATTAGAAAAATATTTTTTAATGTCTTTTGCAGAGAATTAGTCACACATATATTACTCGAGTTTAACTAAGACAATAGATTTAAATTTTTTTCTGGATTTTAGGGCTTGAAAGCGGAGTGATTTGTATTAAAATATTCCTAGATAGCCAAAATCTCTAAACTCAAACACTATATCATTTTAAAATTGAGGGGGAGGAGGGGAGGGGGGTTGTATTGAAATACACAGAACCATATATACATATCCGGGAAATAATATAAGAAATCTAAAAAAAAAAAAAAAAAAAACTTTCTTAATATTGCATGAATTACAACTGCACGTGTTTATTTCGGTGTTACATATGCGCTGTTCGTTTCTTATTTTAGTATTGATTATGCCTAGACTGCCACCTCTGCATGCTTACCGACGAAGAGTTTTGTAGTCAATGAGGTTGCTGTGTTGCAAAAATTTATTCTCTAGCATTTTAATTTACGTACAGTACTTGAAGCTTTATGGCCACTTAACATGTTGAAAAACCTTGTTCATGAGCAGGAGCTAGTGTACTATGCTTCCATGCAAAATTATGAACTTTAGCCACAGGGGCATTGACTTAAACATACAATACTTGATGACATTTTACATAAATAAAAAATAACCCATATGTTTTTTTTTTTCTGAAAAAGACATACGTTTAGACTTTTTTTTATCACAGTATCACAAAATCTTCCTATTTATTCCACCGACACTTGGGGGATAAATCCCCCTTTCCATTTTTCTTTTTAAATCTGGGGTCGATACACCTTTTTCCTATTTGTTTGTATTCTAATATGCACTACATGTAGCTGACTACATGTTATCGATAATATAACCCTTTTGTCTCTATAAACTGTTTTAAATATATCGTTTTCGACTTGTAAATACTCTCTTTTTATATATCAGCCGAAAAACATCTTCAACCTCTTCTTGCACAACAAAAACAATAAATAATCAAGTTATATCCGCCCTGTCAAGTATTTTTAAACTGCAACTAAGGTAAAGTTATAATACCAAAGATAATTCTCAATATACCCATATTTATCTTCTTCGTAAAGTTCCTTTGTTCATGCAATTTTACATGAAATACCGTACTTTGTACCATAGGGCCATATCAGTGCTTTTTACGAACTGGCCCTTAGCAAATAGAAATATCTTTTGTCAGCGTTTTAAAATATTATTTTGTCTGGATTCGCTGGGATTTAATTTCAGGCTAATATTAAATCTGTTCAGATTCACAATCTAAACACATACAGCTACCTGTTAACTGGTGATGATTTGGTTGACAAGAGATATGTCACTTGTGCAAGATGAAAAATGAATATACTCCTAGAGAAACACTGATCACAGTTCTCTGTGCTTAGAATAAGTTATCCAAAAGTGAACTGGTTTATAATTACAGAGAGGTGTAGACCAAAGTTTTATTTCTTATTTGAGCTTATTATAACTTAAGTTAGAGATATGTTCTTAAAAAAATATATATTACCCATTGAAAATATTAGTAAGTATATATTTAAGCATTTAATTTCGTAGATTTTTAAATAATGTTTAGTCAATAAACACAAAACGGTCACATAATACCATAAGAATAGTATTATGTTA